AAGAGTGGTTTCTCCCACTAACGGATAATATCAACTTTTTTACACGAATTTGGGCTGCTCTTCAACTTTCTTGTATCTGCCAGGATAGGCTAGGTTATGCCCTAGTCACAAACAACCTCAAAATTTTAGTGGCTTATAACAGGAAATTTCTTTCATTTTGGTACATGTCCATCAAGGGTTGGCTAGGGGCTCTGCTCCACATCTCCTTACTCAAAAGCTTAGACTAATAGGGCTGTTGTCATCTTGAGCATTGCCATTTATCTTAGCAAAGGAAAAGAGAGTTCGGGAGAGTCTCACTCCATCAATAAAATGTTTAGCCTGAAAGTGACAAACATCAATTCCCTTTACAATTCATTAACAAGTGTTCATTACATGGCTCCAATGTAAGAGGCCAGGAAGTGTAGTCATGCATGTGCCTAAATGGAAAACTGAAAATATTTGGCAAACAGCAGCTATGACTAACCTACCATATCTCTATCCTGTCTTGTTAATCTGTCAATTCATGTGGTAATAATGCAGGTTTTTCCTTTTTGGAATATTTCTGGCTGTTCTGTCAATTTCATTTTCCTGTTGAACTAGAATTAGCTTCTTTAACCACCCTCTTCTCTCTTCAAAGAGTCAAATTAAGTCCGTACTTTTTTGTTGTGTCTCCATTAAATTTACAGATTTAAGGAAAATTGTTATCTTTCTAATGTTGCATTTCCACAACCAAGAAGCAGATATATCTTTTCAGTTACTCACATCCTCTTTTGTACTTTTCATATTTTTAATATGTTATGTGTATTTATTAGTAAAGTATTCTTTTTTGTTGTTCTTTTAATGAGATTCTTTTTATTTTACTATCATCTGCAAATAATAATTTTAATTCCTTCTTTACAATCAGGTTGGTTTTCTTGATGGAACAAAAAAGATACAACCACTTCTCAAATAATATATGTATTACTCAAAACTTTTTCAAAAAATTTTCTACTAAAGATTTTTCATGATCCATTTTTATATTAATCCCAGTAAATAAGTAGATTAACATTATGTCAACAATAAGTAGTTTACTCCAGCAACTAGAAGCACCTATCAAATCTTTAAGAATTATATTTGTTTTGTGCTCTGCAGGTGTCTATTATGCCCACCTGTACAAGAACCAGGAGATGATAAGCCATTAATATAGAATAAGATCTGACTCTAAAGAAAGAGGCTCACTGGCCCATTCATCAAACTTGAGAGATGTTGAAAATTAAACATTTGCAGGTAATTAGAGTGTGGTTTTGAGTAACATAGGCATTGTTCTCCTATTGCATTTTGATTTGCTTGTTGTGGGAAAAACATGTTGTTTTCTTGGGGGGAAATCCGCTTTTTTCTTAAGTTAAGCAGGTATTATATTACACCTAGGGTTTATTTCATATTGAGAGTGAGAACTGCACATTGCTTTTTATTTCTTTTCACTGCCTTGGTGTAATTATGTGAAGTTCAACCTGAGAGTATTTTCCTCCCTTACAACTTGTCTTTGATTTCATCCTCCCCCATCTCAGCATTACTCTGTGCTCTTTTTTTCTACAACCCATCCTCTTTAAGAGTTCCATCCTTAATCACAAGACTATGCATTAAATAGGAATCATTGGTTAAAGGCTAATAAGCAGATTATTTGTGGAATTATAGTGTATGTGTGGTTGTGCCTGGGATAGAAGTCCAAGGGGAATCCAAGACATCAGATCTGAATCCTTCACTATCTTTAAGGTGAAGTATCATGAAAATCTGATGGAATGATTTAAATTGAAAATAGAGACTTTACAGAAAAATGGAAGTAAAGTAAGGAGCTGACAGAATAATTACTAGAAATATGGCAGAGTGAAAATAGACCCACCAAAATAACAAACACCTGAAATTAAAAATGTTTAAGAAGACAGATTTCAATTATGACAAACAAAGATAGCACCTCAGGCATGATTTTAAAACCTTGGTAACACCAAAAAAGAGGAAAGTGTGTACAAACCCAGAGAAGACAATGATAATAGAACAAACAGAAAAAAAACCACTCCTAAAGGAATGGAATTGTTAATAATAAGGCTGAAAAGAAGAAAAGACACAGAGATCATTAAAAGGAACTGGTTAGAATTTTAAAACAAAATAAAATTAAAAAAACCTAAAGCACTGTGATAAAAAAAAGTATAATAAAACTTACAACATCCCTTAAAAAAAAAGGCATTTAAATAATAGTACAGTCAGTAAAATTGAGGTGAAATGGAAAGATCCAGGTTAAAATACAAATGGAATAGATGAATAGGTTATAACAAATCTTGTAGACTTAATTTTTTGCTCCTGCAACTCTCCTCTAAATAATGGGGAGAGTAGGGGTAGATTGCAGATAGAAGGAAGCCTCAGTAAAGATAAAATTGAAGTTATTGTAGAGAAAAATAGACCTTTGCCTATAGGTTGTGATTTTATGGAGTACTTATTTTCCAGATTTGGCACTTAAAGACAGTATACTCAATACCTACTTACTAGTTTTTTCAAACTGGAAAGGAAGAAATGTCCTCTGGAGAATAAAGGATAAGACTGACCTTAGACTTTGCAACTCAAACAATAGAAAGAAGATACATTTAGAGAAATATTTACAAAATACCATACAATTATCGTACCTAGCTGTCTGCCTTTTGAAGACAAAAGATTTTTGAACCCTGATATCTTAGAAGAATTTCCAATAGCCAAGTACCAGAGAAAATTATAAAAGTTGGGGAATGCAGAGGAACTTCTGAATTTAAGTGATAGAGACTAGAGCGCTTTGAAGGAAGTGAGGTGGCGGGTGTCATCCCGGAGTGTTAGCTTAGATATTCAGGCACAAAACATCTCAGTGCAGAATCCCACCCCCCCACCCCCCTATCCCGAGCTGCAGCATTCTGGGTCTGGGCCTGTATACATAAAGAAATGCAACTTTACCTTTACTCAGAGATAATCAAGGCCTAGGAGAATCTTGCTAACAAAAGCTCAGAAGACTGCCAGTTAATAGATTTGTCATGGGAAATAGCATTTTCAGGTGAACTTGAACATTGACTTGAGTAAGCTTTTTGCACTCTTTCCCTTAGGTGAGTCAGGTGAGGAAAACAGGATTTAAAATAGTGTATAATTTGGTAAGTTTTAAGTTAGAATAAAGGAACATAAGTGGTTTTTTAAAGTGTTTGCCTACTGCACTTGAAGTATTCTTCCCTAGTGTAGAAATGTTTTATGGGGGAACTAAGTGTTTGACATTCATTGGCACACTCTGGGAACAAGGAGAAGTGTATGTTTAAATCTATATATATGCTTCTATACGGATGGACTTCTACTAAGACTTTCTTTCTTTAAATCCTTTAATACCATTGTCTCTCCTAGCTTTTATATGTAATTGTAGAAAAATATCAGTCAAATACATCACTGAATTTTTACTTTAAATTCAAAAGATACAAAAGGAGATAGATATAGATATAAATAAATGCATATATGCAGTGAAAAGTCCTCTCTAGATTCCTTGTCCCTTCACCAAACACAGCTCATGTTATCAGTATACTTCCAGGGATAGTTTATGCATATTCAAGCAAATGCCTATATTGTCTAGTAGTGAAATCTACCAAATTCAACTAGTAATAGATGTTCTTACAGTTTTAGTGGCCACTGACATGGTGCAGAGCAGCCAGCTGTGGGCGAGCTGCAGAGGCTCCACATCTACCCCTGACTATTAATTCAGACAAAGAAACTGCCATCTAATTCTCTCAGGCTCAGGTTATCGCAGTAGGGCCAGGTACTGGCCAATCCAGTTAGGCCACACTGTGACTCATCACATGAGCTGAACCCCAGTCATAAATCTGAGAGAAAGATCTCTTCTGCAACTGGTTTCTATTTTCTAGCTGAAAAACAGGGATGTGTTACGGTTTTCTCATAATGTGTTCCTGAGACCATCTTTGGCTATATTAGAAAGCAAAAAACAATTGTATCTTCTAAAGCACAGTGTCTGGGCACTGTCCTGTTTGGGCAGGGCCTTGAGAGACAACTTGCCCATTTGCAATTTTTCTTATCAGAAAGATATTCTCTAGGTCAGCTAGTCCAAAACAAAAGTGATATTTGGTGATCTGTGTCCTTCATAATTATTTTAAGTGATAGATAAGTAAAAAGCTCAAAGAAAGTCACTATCTATGTTCAGTTGCCATGGTGGTTTTTTTTGCAGCTAGTTTTTCATGGAGTGCTCACTATCAGAGATGAGTATTCTTTCTGCTTAACTTGGGTTTATTTTGCTCTTTTTCTAGATTCTTGATGTAGGAGCTTAGATTATTGATTTGAGATTCTTCTTTTCTAATGCTTGCATTTAATGGTATGAATTTCCCTCTGAGCATTGCTTTACCTGTGTCCCACAAATGTTGGTATGTTGTATTTCCATTTAAATCAATTCACTTTTTTAAAAATTTTTCTTTGAGACCTCTTACTGACCCATGTATTATTTAGAAGTGTGGTGATTAGTTTTCAGCTATTTGGAGATTTTCCTGTTATCTCTCTTTTATTGATTTCTAGTCTGATTCCATTATGTGTGAAAACACATTTTGTACAACTTCAGTTTTTTAAAGTTTGTTGAGGTTTGTTTTATGGCCCAGGGTATGGTCTGTCTTGGTATATGTCCCAGGAACACTTGAAAGAATATATTCTGATGTTATTAGTTAGAGTATTCTATAAATTTTCATTAGATCCTGTTGGTTAATGTGAATTGTTGTTGACTTTTTCTTTAACCTGCTTATTTTCTATCAATTTTCTATTTAATCTTCCATCAGTTATTGAGAGACACTGTTGAAGTTTCCAGGTATAATTGTGAATTTGTCTGTTTCTCCTTTCAGTCATAACCAGTTTTTGCTTCACGTATTTTGCATCTCTACTGTTTTGTACACACACATTCATGATTATTATGTCTTCTTACTAGATTGACCATTTTGTCATTATATAATGTTCCGTTCTCTTTCTGGTAATTTTATTTGCTTTGAAGTCTACCTTGTCTGATATTTAATAAAACCACTTATGCTTTTTTAAAATTAATGCTTGCATGATATATATCTTTTTCCATCCTTTTATTTTCAAGCTGCCCATATGGTTATTTTTGAAGAGAGTTCATGTGGATAGCATATTATTGGGTCATGTTTTTAAATTCACTCTGCCAATTTCTGTGTTGTAACTGTTAGATATAGACTATAGTTGATATAATTATTGGTATGTTAGAGCTTAAGCCTACCAATTTAATTTTTGTTTTCTGCTTCTTCTGTTTTCTGTTTCTTTGTTACTTGAACAATTGTTTGAAGTCCATTTTGATTTTTCTGTAGTGTTTTGAATGTATCTGTTTGTACAGCTTTCTTAGTGATTGCCCTAGGTATTATATTACATATATGCTATCTACTGTTGTCACCATTTTACCAGTTTGAATGAACACTGGAAACCTTACCTCCCTTTATGTTTCTTTACTTTCTTTTATGTATAATATACTTAAATATTTCCTCTGCATACATTTAAAACCGCATTAGATAATTATCATTTTTCCTTCAATTATCAAACATAATTTAGAAAACTCAAGAGAAGGAAAGTTTATTGTATTTACCCATATTTTTACTTACCATGTTCTTTTTTCCTTTTTATGTTCCCAGATTCCTTTTCTTATTTCCTTTCTGTTAAAATAAGTTCCTACAGTTATTCTTTCAGAGTAGGTCTTATGTCAACATATTCTCTTTGTCTCTCTTTATGTAAGGATGCCTTGATTTCATATTTCATTTCTAAAGGGTATTTTCATTGGATATAGCATTCTAGGTTGACATTTCATTCAGCACTTTAAAAATGTCCCCTTCCTTCTGGCCTCATCTATTATTTCTGATAAGAAATTTGCTCTCTTTCAAATTGTTTTTCCACTAAAGGTAATATACATTTGTCTCTGGTTGCTTTCAAGGGCTTGTTTGTTTTTTTTTCTTTGTCTTTACTTTCATAACTTTGACTGAGAGGGATAGGTGCTCATTGCTGCTAGATAATGGTAAAATCCTGATTCTGCACTATATACCTCCTCTGTCACCACCCCAGTAGAGAAGGGTACAGTCACCTTATTACTGCTAGATAAAGGTGGAAGTCCAGGCTCCCTTCACATGCGGTCTTCACTGACATTAGAGAGATGAGGCCTCATTACCACCTGGCAGGAAACAATTTCCAGCCTCCTATTTGGCCTTTTCTGATACTACCCCAGGCTTAGGGCATAATTTGTCACTTCCTGGCCAGGGTGAAAATCTAGGCTGTCCATTCAGCCTTTGCTGGTGCATGTAGGCTGGGCCATAGTTTTTTCTGGGATGTTTGACTGGAGTAAAGCAGTTACTGTCTGAAAATTTTCTGCCTTGCTAGACTACCCTTTCTGTGGTCTGGTGGTCAGAGAGAACAGGTTTTGGGAGGCTATTTTTGTCTTCACCTACTCTCATTTCTGGATTGCTAACTTCTCCAGCTCCAAGTCTGGGATATATGAGACAAAAAGAAATCTCAGGGAACTCAATACCATATTGTTTCTTGAGTTTTGAGGTCCTTAGCTAGTGTGCTTTCTTCCCATTATCTTTCAGAGTATTCTCATGAACTTCCCATTGTTTCATATGTAACGCCCAGAGTTTTTAGTTATATTAGGTGGAGAAATAGGAAATGTATGTCTATGCCATCTTTCTGCAACCAGAATGTCTTTTGATGGAGGTATAGACAGTGACCTTTGATGTCTTGTATTATTCAGTGTTTTAGTTAATAATCATGATAACTAACATTTCTCAAGTATACACTATGTACCCAGATAATATTCTAGGTGCTTTTCATATATTGAGTCATTTAATTCCTATGAAACTCTAGTAAGTAATTACTACCATTATTCTACCTTATTAGATGAGGAAACTGAGGCATAGAAAAGGTAAGTAACATGCTCAAAGTCCCTGCCAAATCCGTGATTAAACCCCAGGTTCTCTGACTCCTTAAGCCTAAGACCACTCTACTACCTGTGGCCTAGAACAAGTCTGACATATACTTTCCATTGTAGCAACTTGACTTTTCTTTCTTGAAATTTGTCATAGTTTTTCTATCTTAGAATGCAGAAATTTTACCAATAACTGTCTAAATGTGGGTCTTTTCTTTCCCCTAATAATTCTTTATGGTACCCAAGCACATCCTTTTGATCTGAAAGCTTAGATTTTTCTATTGTACAATGACATATTTTTGAAATTTAAAAATTTCCCTCCCATCTACCCACTGAAAGATTTTTTTAGGAAATATTCTCGAGGGGCCCTAAAGATACTCACTAAAGAACAAAGAAGTAAGCTAATTCTAATTTGCCAAAAGCTTTCTTTTTTTAGTGAACAAGTTAGAGAAAAAAAATTATGAACAACATGATCAAGCTGTGAGGAGCCACTTGGACCTTAAGACTTCCAGTTCTGGGTTGTGTGACACTTATTGGAACACAGATTTTGGTATGAAGAGGAAAGTGAGATGATCAAGAAAAGTGAGCTTCATATCACAGTCAACATCCCTTGTTGCTGTTGCTTTTAATTATTTCAAAAAGTAGAAGATACTTGCATAAAATAATAATTATTAAAATGTATCACTGTGCTCGTAACTTATTAAGATATAATCTAAATGAAAATAATATCACAAAAAGAAGCAGAGCAAATGGAGCTATATCAGATCAAGGAAATAATACCAGATAGTAATTTGAATCCAACGGTAGAAATGAAGAGTACTGGTAAAGGTAAATATATGGGTAAATACAAAAGACTCTGTATAGTTTTCTCCTTTTTAAAAATCTTTGAAAGACACAGAATTATATAAAGCAATCATTGTGATTCTGTGTCAGACTTACATATAGAACATAATATATATGAAAATACTATCACAAAAGAGTAGAGAAGGAATGGAACTGTGTTGGAGCAAATTTTCTGTAATTTACTGGAATTAAATTAGTATTACTCTGAAGTATATTGTGATAAGATACATGTTGTAATCTATAGAGTAATCACTAAGAAAATAAATGTATATACAGTTTAAAAATCAAGAAAGCTCTCCTGGGCATTTATCCCAGAGGAATAAAAATTAATGTTCACAGAAAAACTTACATCCAAATGTTCATAGTAGCTTTTTTGGTAATAGCTAAAAAGTGGAAACAACCCAGATGTCCTTCAGCAGATGAGTGGGTAAATAACCTAATACATACATAATCTTATAATAATAAATAAAAAGGTACAAACTATTGATATATGCAGCAACCTGGATGAATCTCCAGAAAATTACACTGAGTGAAAAAAAGCTAACTCCAAAAAGCTATAGACTTTTTAGTTCCATTTATGTATCATTTTTGAAATGATAACATTTTAGACATAGAGGACAGATTGGTTATCATCAGAGGCTAGTTAGGTAATAAGAGTAAAGGACAGAAGTGTGTATGATTATAAAAGGGTAACACGAGAGATCCTTGTGGTATTGGAACTGTTCAGTATCTTGTCTGGGTGGTAGAGACACACACATGCATGCATACACAAGTGAAATTGGGAAAAATCTGAATAATGTTGATTACATCAACACCCTTCGGCTGTTTGTGATATGTTATAAATATACACAGTTGTGATTTTATATGGTAAAATGTTACCATTGTGGGAAACATGGCAAAGGATCTCTGTTATTTCTTACAACTATGTGTGAATCTACAGTTATGTCAATAAAATATCAACTAAAGGCAGACACTGACTGACTGACTGAAAAATATAAAGGTCCAACTATGTGTTGTTTACAAGAGGCATTCCTTATATTCAAAGACATAAAATGATGGGAAAAGATACATCTTGCCAAGAATATGCCAATATCAAACAAACTAGAATTTAAAACAAACAAAAACTTAATAGAGACAGAATGAGGTGTTTTATAATAAAATGGTCAATTCATCAGGAAGATATGTCAGCCTAACCCAAAATGCACACAGCAAAAACTGACAAAATTAAAGGGGAAAATAGATAATGCAACAATAATAGTTGAAAACTTCAGTACCTCACTCCCAATAATGGGTAGAACAGCTATACCAAAAATCACTAAAGATACATAAGAGTTGAAAAACACAATCAACCAACTTGACCTAACTGACACTTATAGAACACTCTACCTAATGAGCAGAATACACATTCTTCTTAAGCACTCAGTGAACAGTCATATGGTAGACCAGGGGTTGGTAAGAAGTTTCTTAAGGAGCCACAGAGTAAATATTTTAGCCTTGTTGTCTATGCAGTCTCTGTCACAGCTACTCAACTCTGCTATTTTAACTCAAAAGTAGCCATAGACAACACTTTAATATGGGAATGACTGTGTGCCACTAAACTTTCTTTATAAAAACAAAGAAGCCATGCATAGTTTGCCAACTCATGTGCTAGGTCATAAAACAAGTCTCAGTAAATTTAAAAGGAAAAAAAAATTTTAAAGGATTGAAACCTAACAAAGTATGTGCTCTGACCAGGGTGGAATTAAATTACAAGTCATCAAAAGAAGGAAGTTTGGGAAACCCACAAATATTTGGATATTAAACATTACATTTCTAAGTAGCCCATATGTTAAAGAAGAAAAAACAAGGAAAATTAGAAAACATTCTGAGCTGGATGAAAAAGAAAACACAACAAACCAAAATAGTGGGATGACTGACTGCTCAAAGCAATCTGCAGTTTCAGTCCAATCCCTATCAAAATTCCAATTATCTTTTTGCAGAAATAGAAAAGCAGTCCTCAAATTCTTATGGAAATCCTCCTACACTGTTGGTGGGAATGCAGTTGGTGCAGCTACTCTGGAAAACAGTGTGGAGATTTCTCAAAAAACTAAAAATAGGCTTACCATATGATCCAGCAATCCCACTCCTGGGCATATATCTGGTGGGAACTCTAATTTGAAAAGATACTTGCACCCCATTTTTAATAGCAGCACAATTTACAATAGCCAAAACATGGAAACCTAAATGTCTATCAACAGATGACTGGATAAAGAAGTTATGGTATATTTATACAATGGAATGCTACTTAGCCATAAAAAAGAATAAAATAATGTCATTTGCAGCAACATGGATGGACCTGGAGTTCATCATTCTAAGTGAAGTAAGCCAGAAAGAGAAAGAAAAATAACATATGATATCACTCATATGTGGAATCTAAAAAAAGAAAAAAGAAGATACTAATGAATTTGTCTACACAACAGAAACAGACTCACAGACATAGTAAACAAAGCTACAGTGATCAAAACTGTGGTACTGGCATAAAGATAGATATATAGACCAATGGGATGGATTTGAGAATCTAGAAATAAACCCCAAACATCTAGGACCAGTTGATTTTTGACAAGAATCTGAAGACCATGGAATGGGGAAAAATAGTCTAACAAATGGTGCTGGAACAACTGGATATACACATACAATAGAATAATGTTGTAGTCCTTCTTCATATCCTATACAAAAATTAACTCACAATGAACCAATGACCGAAATAGAAGAGCTAAAACTAGAAAACTCTCAAAAGAAAACGTAGAGGTAAATATCCATGACCTCGGGTTTAGCGATGAATTCTTAGATATGACATCAAAAGCATGAGCCACAAAAGAAAAAAAAGCAAAAAAAGTAGACTTAAATTTTTTGTGTCTCAAAGGACATTATAAAGAAAGTGAAAAGCTACAAAATGTGAGAGAATATTTGTAAGTCATATATCTAGTAATGGTTTAGTATTCAGAATAAAGAAAGAACTCTTGCAACTCAACAAGACGACAGCCCAATTTAAAAATGGGCAAAGGATTTAAGTAGCCATTTCTCCAAAGAAGATATACAAATGAAATAAGCACATGAAAAGATACTCAACATCATTAATCACTAGGAAAATACAAACCAAAACCATAATGTGTGGGTTCATCACCAGTTGTGGGTTCTGGCCAGCAGAAGTCCCACTGAGACGGAATGAATTACTCAAAACTCTGGGGAAAAGTCAAGAGAGCGAGAGGGAGTCGGTAGCCAACTCCATGAGCCTCTCAAATCTCTCATATTTATTGAGTACAGTCGAAGCAGGAATTTAGGGAAGGACAGGGTGGGATCACAATGAGTACAAAGGCTTTGTTTATTGTTGGTGTTTGGCTCAAGGTCCGAAGACCCTTTTTGGTGAATCATAATGGTGTTGAGCCTTTTAGCTTATCAGGGCCAGAACCTATGAGAATCAGCTGCTTAACAAGATTTTCTTGGACTCAGGCGGGCTGTGCCTGTCTTAGGTTGCCCCCTCAGGGGATCTTACCTATCATTGGCTAACCAGCCTTCTCACCTCTGAGTCTGCAGCTTTTTACCATTCCAGCCCAAGGCTGTTTTGGGGATAGAAGACTAACAGCAGGCATGGTTTATAGCCAGGTCATTGCCAAAACCTCAAGGCAGTTACTAAGCACATCTTTAAGGAGGTAAGTGGCTAGGGTCTGTTACAATTTGTTAACCCAATCATGGGCTCCCACAATAATGAAATACCACTTCACACCCACAAGGATGGATATTTTGAAAATAGCACAGAAATAACAAGTGTTAGTAAGGATATGAAGAAATTTGAACCCTCATACATTGCTGGTAGGAATATAAAATGATACAGCCACTGTGGAAAACATTTTGGTGGTTCCTCAAGAAGTTAAACGTAGAATTATTATATAGCCCAGCAATTCCAGTCCTAGGAATATACCCAAAAGAAGTGAAGACAGGTACTCAAGCAAATCCTTGTACACAAATATTCATATCAGCACTATTCACAACAGCCAAAAGGTGGAGAGAACCCAAATGTCCACCTGTGGATGAATGGATAGGGAAATTGTGGTACATATATCAAGAAAAAAAGAAACAGCACAGCAAAGGAAACCATCCCCAAAGCAAAAAGATAACCTACTGAATGGGAGAAAATATTTCTAAATGATATGACCAATAAGGGGTTAATATCCAAAGTAAATAAATAGCTCATACAACTCAATATCAAAAAAACAAACAACTCAATTAAAAAATGGGCAGATCTGAATAGGCATTTTTCCAAAGAAGACATACAAGTGGTCAACAGGCACATGAAAAGATGCTCAACAATGTTAATCATCAGAGAAATGCAAATTAAAACCACAATGAGATATCACCTCACACATGTTAGAATGGCTATCATCAAAAAGACTACAAATAACAAGTGTTGGCAAGGATGTGTAGAAAAGGGAAGCCTTGTATACTGTTGATGGGAATGCAGATTGGTGCAGCCACTATGGAAAACAGTATGAAGGTTTCTCCAAAAACTAAAACTAGAGCTACCGCATGACCAGCAATTCCACTCCTGGGTATTTATCAAAAACAAAACAAAACAAAACACTAATTGGAAAAGATACATGCCTTGGCCCCCATACATACTTGGTCAGTCATGACTATGTGGCCAAAAGTCTCTATATCTATAAAATGGGGGCATATTATGGTACCTACCTATAGAAGTTTTATGTGAGAATTAAATTAAATAAAGCCAATAAAATGCTTATAACAGGGCCTGACTTAATAAAGGGTTTTTTTTTAAAGAAGAAAATCAAAATGACTAGTAAACCACAAGCCACTGTTAATATTTGATTTGTTAGCTTTCAGACTTTTTCCTGCTACACACACACATACATATATTATATATAATCTACCTTTTTTTCAACCTTTCACAAAATCAGGATCATATTTTATATACAAGCTATATCCTGATTCATTTTTCCCATGTATCTTTATTAAAAGTTAAAATTTACTGAAAACAGGTTTACATGACCTAACAATATTATAACATGACTCTACATAATTATTTAATCATTATCTCCTTGTGAGATATCTAAGTTATTTCTAGTATTTTACCATTATTAATATTATTACTTTAAAGTTTAAGGAGTTTTTAAAATCTTGACACTTGTCCTTTTTTTTCCTTTGCATTTCTTTGGGATTGAACTTTTTCATATGTTTATTGATATTGATTACTAGCATTATTTCAGTGGAATAGCTCTCCATGAATACCTTTTTATAAAGCTTTTCGTGTAGGAGCTCAAGCTTCTGGGATAGTGCCAAGTACATAGTACGTACTCAATAAATATTTGTGGCATGATTAATGACAAGGATATTAACCCTTTGTCTATCATAATTGTTTCAAATGGGGTCAAGCCTTAAGAAAAAATTTGCCTCTGTACATGTGCAAAGATAATGCTATCTTGGTTCTCATCTTTGTAACCTAACTTATTTCCATTCTTTTCTTTCCTTAGTTCATCCATGAGCTCGGATTTCCTGCATTACAACTTCAGGATGCCTAATATTGGATTTCAGAATCTGCCACTCAACATATATATTGTGGTTTTTGGCACTGCTATATTTGTCTTCATCCTTAGTTTACTCTTCTGTTGCTACTTGATTAGGTAATCAATTTTCATTGTGTTGCTTCAAAATATGTTCTACCCTTAGATTAAATTTTTTATAAATATAATAATTAGCAAATTTTCTAAAATTAAGGTGGCTTAACATTTTAACCTGCTGTGGGTTACTGATCAGTAAAACACCTTTATTCAGTCTTACCTGCTGATGAGGTGTTTTACACTATAGGGGAAAATTGCCCTCATTTATTTTTCTAACATACTTGCACCTGGCCCAGATACACCTATGTCATTGTCCCTAGGATTTAATCTACTTTCACAGAAATTTCAGGATTGCTTTTCAGGAGGGTGTTGCCTCATTGTTAGCTAAAATCATTAGGGATTAGAAAACAGTGTCCAAAACAAGATCCAAGCCTTTAAACAGGTTCTTGTGGTCTCTCAAGAAGATCTTAAGCTTCCATTTGTTGCTGAACTCATCAGGTGTTCAGAAGATTGATTATCTGCATAAAAGACTAAATACTCTACAAGTTCTATAGCACATGTACAGACAAGTGACAAAGGATAAAATACCCACTTGAAGGAATGATGAGTTTGAACAGTAAAGACTCATAGTTGACTGACTCATAATTGTTTAAGCAATCGTTTTTTTCTTTTTAAGTTTTTAATTAGGGCCTAATTTTCAAAGCCAAAAATGAGGCTATAATAAATTTTACACTATATTCAAAGAGCTTTATGGAATAAAAGAGAATTTAATTTTATTAAATAACGTATACATCTAACAGTTTTTAGTGTTTGTATAATGTATGATTATCGTTAAGATAAATACCATCAACAGATACCTTTCATCAATAATTCATTTTTGCCACTAGTGTTTTGGAGGCACTCACTTACTAATGGTCAAAGTCGAATGAATTTTGTATGTAGTTCCTAATTTTCTGACAAGTTAATTTACATTTTTATAGAAAGTGAATCTTTTCTGAAGTTCTCAAAAATGTAATTTCCCCTTATATGCTGTCTGCTGATGATTTTTAGGGCTTGTTCAGATAAATAAATTAAATACTTAGCTAATATAATTATATCATTCAGGAAAAACTTTTTAAAAATCTATTTATTTCCAGAAATTTCCTTTTTCTAACATTTCTTTAATATTAGATTGATAAATGTTATATAAATATTCAGTTTTTTTTTAATTATAGAATTAGCCGTAGCACAAAAAGGACCTCATAGCATAGCTAGGAGTCATCCTATTTTATAATGAATCATGTAATATTCTAATTTATGTTTGTTACTCATCTTTCTTCCTAGACTGTCTGTTCTGTTTGCTGTATTCCAAACATCCAGAACAGTTGTGTTAGCTGTTCTCAGGGAAGTCCAGTAAGAAGAATTTAAAATTTCTCATTACACTTTACAATTAGCTTTGCATCCATAGTCTTGGTTAGAAAGATTTCAGTAGCATGGATACAGAGGTGATGAAAGGCGAGTTATAATGGGACAAAGTCTCACCAGCAGGTGAAAATGGATACAAAGAATGTAACTTCCTCTTTGAAGAATATTGGCTAAGAAAAGATCAGAGTTGGGGAGTGCAGTTTGCTGTAAATTAAGGAAGTGTTTTGGTGTTTGGGTTTTTTTAAGATAGAGATTTAGGCATATGTATAAATATAATACTAAGGAGAAAAAACTAATTGTAGAGGATTTGTGAGAAAGAATGAATCATGGAGGCGAGAAGAGACATACCTAAAAATTACATCAGTATTGGCCCTAAATAGGAGAATACCTTCTTAAGACAGAGGTGAAGGTAACTGTGGAAAACAGTACACATATAGGTATGTGGAGTTGGGAGCAAGAGAGCTGCTTACCTGAAAACATCTTTCTTTCTCTGAAAAGTAGTTGAAAAGCATGGGGAAGGAGGTGGTAAGATAAAGCTTGAAGAGAGTGTCTAGTGTTTGAAATGACTATGGCATGGACGCTTAGGATATTCAGCATGAATTGGTAGAATCAGAGAGCAGTGTGGAGGATCTAGCTGAGCATGGAGACTACAGATTTGTAGTGACCATAAGCTCCATGGTTTTATCATTTTTTTCCCAGCACTCTTCAGCATTGTTAATTATGACCTCTCAGTTACTTTTTTAGAAACCAGTATTTATTAAGTACATACTATATGCCAGACCATATGCTGTATTTTACAGAAGTTAAATTATTTTCCTACAGTCACACAGAGAAAAAAAAGATGGTTAGAGCTGGGACTCAAACCCAGTTGTGTCTGACTCTAGAGCATATGCTCTTAACTACTTAAAAAATAATGGTTATATTTATCAGGCTTCATTTCAAATAAACATTTCAAAGAACATATTGAAGATATTCTAAAACTTTTTTTATTGAAGTATAGTTGATTTACAATATAAACTTTTTTTTGAGCCTGGAATTTTTTAATGAAGTCAGTACATACTTTTCTTTTAATGAGTAACATGGTACTTAAGAAAAAGGAAATAAAAAATATTCCTCATTTTTACCTCCTTTCACCAAATAAGTCATAATCTATATTACCAATATGTTTATAGGAAGGAATAGCAAAAATATGTTTGTGTTAAATGCGTAACAAATGCAAAATAAAATGGTGCAATTTGAAATATTAGATAATTAGTGGACTTAGAGTAAAGGAATAATCAGAAGGATGACATTAATTTAAGTAGGAATTTCTAGAAGAGATTAATTTTTGAGCCATGGGTTGAAGAAAAAGGTGAACACAGATTGACCAGTCCTGTGACTGGAAGTGATGATGCTTTGTGAAAATATATAGATCCCACTGAAAGAGTCAAATAAGCAAAATAAATTTACAAATATGGCCTCATTTTAATGAACTCTAATGAAGTTAATTTTATGCATTTATATGAAAATGTACTCTACATTTCTCTCAGTAAAACAAGAAGACAAAAAAAAAGTAAGGATATGGAAGATTTGAATTACATGATTAATAAATTTGGGCTAATTAGGAGAAATTTATAGTTTTGAAATCATGTATTAGACAAGAAAGACTGAACACCATTCATATGAATTTTCCTTTTATGAAACTAGAAAAAGTCAATTAAATACAAAAGAAAATAGAAGGAAGAAAATTAAAACGCGAAGCACAAAAACCAATGAAATAGAAAATAAATTTATAATAAAATTATTGAAATCAAAAGCTGATTCTTAAAAGATTAACAAAATTGATGAACTTCTAGGAAGATGTCCAGGAAAAGAAGAGAAAACATAAATTTAGTAATATCAGAAATGAAAGGGGGGGCATTACTACAAATTCTACAAACATTAAAAAGATTGCAAAGGATATTATAAACAACTTTATACCAATAAACTTGAAGTTTTAGTTGAATTAGACATTTTTCTAGAAAAAAATATAGCACATTAAAACTGACATAAGAAATAGAATTTATGAAAAAACCACAATTAATATCGTACTCAATGGTGAAAAACTGAAAGCTTTCCCTATAAGATCTGGAACAAGACAAAGATACCCGTTTTCACCACTGCTATTCATCTTTGTACTAGAAGTTCTAGCCAGAGCAGTTAGGCAACAAAGAAATACAGGGCATCCAACTGGAAAAAAAGAAGTAAACTATCTCTTTTTGCAGATGACATGATTCTATATATAGACATTCCCATAGAATCCACACCAAAAAAAAAAATCTACAACTCGTAAACAAAATAACTTTGAGAATACAAAATCAACACCAAAAAAAAAAAATCAGTTATATTTCTGTACTCTAGCAAGGGACAATCTGAAAAGGAAATAAACAAAACATTTGGAATAGCATCCGAAAGAATAAAATTCCTAGAAATAAATTTAACCAAGGAAATGAAAGACTTGTACGCTGAAAATTACAAAATACTGCTAAAATAAAGAAGACCTAAATAAATGGAAAGACATCCTATGTTCATGGATTAGAAGACTTAATATTATTAAGATGCCAATACTCCTCAAAGCAACCTACAGATTCAATGCAAAGGCTATCAAAATTACAATAACCTTTTATGCAGAAATGGAGAAACTGCTCCTCAATTCATTTAGAACCGCAAGGGGCCCCAAATAGCCAAAGCAGTACTGAAAAGGAAAAACATAGTAGAAGACTCACACTTTGCAATTTCAAAACTTACTTCAAAGCTACAGTAATTAAAACGTATGGTACTGGCATAGGAATAGACACTGAAGTAGAATTGAGAGTCCAGAAATAAACCCAAACATCTGTGGCCTATTGATTTTTGATCAGGGTGCCACAGTTTAGTGGGGAGAGAGTAGTCTCTTCAAAGGTGAAACAACTGAATGATACCTGTAAAAGAATGAAGTTCAACCCCTATCTCATTTCCTACATAAAAATTAACTCAAAAAATAAATCAGCGACCTAAATGTAAGAGCTAAAACTATAAAACTCTTGGAGGAAAAACAGGAGGAAATTTTCATGACCTCGAATTACAATGGATTCTTAGATTTGACACCAAAAGCACAAGCAACAAAAGAAAAAATAGATTAATTGAACTTATAAAAATTAAAAATATTTGTGTATCAAAGAACATTATCAAGAAAGTTAAAAAACAACCTACAGAATGGGAGAGAAATATCTGCAAATCACATATATCTGATAAGGGTTTTAATATCCAGAATATGTGTGTGTGTGTGTGTGTGTGTGTATAAAACTCTTACAACTCAACAACAAAAAGACAACTGAATTTAAAAGCAGATAAAGGACTTAAATAGCCATTTCTGCAAAGAAAATATACAGATGGCAAACAAGCACATGAAAAGATGTTCAGCAGCATTGGTCATTAAGGAAATGCAAATTAAAACTACAGTAAGATACCACTTCACAACTGCTAGGATGCCGTATTTAAAAATATGCAAAGTTTTAAGTGTTAGCTAGAATGTGGAGGACTAGGAACCCTCATACATTGCTGGTGGGAATGTAAAACAGTACAGCTGCTATGGAAGAGTTCAGCAGTTCCTTCCAAAGTTAAACACAGAATTACCACATGACTCAGAGATTTCACTTAGGTGTATCCCCAAGACAGATGAAGAGAGATGTCCACACAGAAGTTTGTACACAGTGCTTTTTTATAGCATTATTCATAATGGCCAAAAGGTATAAACAACCCAAATGCTCATCAACAAATGAATGGACCAACAAATTGTGGCATATACATACAGTGAAATGTCAGCCATAAAAAGGAGGGAAGTACTGATACATACTACAAGTAGGAACAGCCTTGAAAACATGCTAAATGAAAAGCCAGAGAGAAAGGGGTCACGTACAGTTTCTTTTAATGTAATATATCTATACAAATCCAGAGAGACAGAAAGCAGATTAGAGATTGCCAGAGATGGGGGAATGGGGAGCAACTACTTAATGAGTACCAGATGTTTTCTGAGCTTTTTTTTTTAATGGAGGTATAGGGAATTAAACCCAGGACCTCGTGTGTGCTAAGCATGTGCTTTATCACTGAACTATACCCCCCATGCCCTCAGATGTTTTCTGATGAAAAAGTTTTGAAACTAAAGAGAACTGGTGGTTGCACAACATTGTGATACACGAAATACCACTGAATTATACACTGTAAGATGGTTAATTGTATGTTATGTGATACAATAAAGAAAAGTAACTTTTTAAAAATCTGACTCAGGAAAAAATAGAAACATTAATAATTATATATCTAGTAAGAAATTGTGTTATTTATTAAAGCATTCCTGCAAAGAAACTGCAAGCCAGGTAGCTTCACCAGTGAATTCCTCCAAACATTTAAGGAAAAAATACTACTCTTATATGACTTTTCCAGAGAACAGAAGTAGAAGAAATACTTCTCAACTCATATGAGGCCAGCTAATTTTGATTCCAAAGCTTGGCAAGAACATTACAAGAAAGGAAATTACAGATATAGACTAATCTCTCTCATGAACAAAATATTAGTAAATCAAGTTTAGGGATGTACAGAAGGGTAGTACATCACAACCAAATGGGATTTGTTCAGGAATGAAGGTTGTTTTAACATTCAAAATCAGTCAGTACAATATACCACATTAACAGTAAAAAAAAGGGGGGGGGGTGAAAAAAGCATTTGATAAAAATTAAAGTATATTCATGATTTTTTTAATCTAAAACTAGGATATAAGGGAATTTTGTTTATTTGAATCAAGAATATCTACCAAAAAATCATACTTAATAGTAACATCGTACTTTATAGTAACATATTGATAAGGACATTCACTATCACCACTTTTACTTCACATTGTACTGGAGGCCCTAGCCAGTGCAGGAAAAAAGAAGAAAGGAAAAGAAGTGAAATAAAGAATAAAGAAGCAAAATATGTTAAGATTAAATAGGCAGAGTTTAGAGTGTCACTATTTGCAGACAAAATGTATATATTAAAAATCCAAAAGATTCTGCAGATGAAATATTTACATTTAGTAAGTGAACTGAGCAAGTCACTAGATAAAGGATCAATATACAGAAATTGAGGGTTTTTTCTATGTAGTAGCAACAAAGATTTAGAAAATTAAAATTTTTTAAACGCCATTTATAGTAGATCAAAACTTTCCAAATATCTAGGAATAAATTTGAAGGATATATAAGTGTTCTACGTAGGAACGTGTGCAGAGAAGGAAGCTCTGGTAAATAGAGTATGATGTGTTCATGGGTTGGAAACTCACTCCCTTGCAAAGATGTCAGTTCTTCCCCCAACTGATCTCTAAATTAAACACAATCATGATCAAAACCCTAACATGTTTTCTGGAAATTGACAAGCTCATGAAATTTACATGGAAATGCAGAAGACCAAGAATGGCTAAGATAGTTAAGAAGAACAAAGCTTAAGGACTTAACACTGCTGGACCCCAAGACTTGTTACAAAGCTCCAGTACTATTCACTTAGCACCCAGGTCTTGGTTTCTAATATTATTCTCCAATAAAAAGAACCAAGGCTCTTTGGAAGAAACAGTTAATTCCACAAGTAGAGCAAGGAAAATACAAATAAGCCTGTAACATCTTTTGGTGCCAGTAAGCAAGGAAATGCATGGAAAAGGATGAGGGCATGTTGAAGGGACACAAGACTCAACCTAAAGGAGCACCTAAAAGCCTAAATCAATTTGAACAACAAAATAAATGATAATATTGAATTATAACCATAGACTAAAACAAATATCCATGAGTCCATGCTGATATAAATGAATGAGGAAGAAGGGACATCTCTTCCTTACAGAAGAACTCCAGTTAATAAACGTACAAGGATTTAGGTAACTACAAAACCACCACCAGGCAAACACTACAGTTGTAGGCAAGATGGGTGCTAAAATCAAGTGAGCAAAAGCTTGAGAAAAAATAGGACATTTGCATTGATTCAACATCTCTTCCCCAAGATATTGATCAGTTACAAAGGGGAAAATAGTAACTTTACTGTAGAGAGACCCGGTGGACACTGCCATAACCAAGTGATCAAAATCTTGAAAAACAAGGAAAAACTGCGGAACTACCACAAATCGGAGGAAGCTAAGGAGCCATAACTAGATGCAAAGTGGGATCTTGGATTGGATCACAAAACAGGAAAAGGACATTAGTGAAAAAAACTAGTGAAATTTGAATAAAATGTTTAATTAATATTGTACAAATATTAATATCAAAATATCAGTGTAAATTTCCTGGTTTTGATCATTGTACTATGGTTGTGTAAAATGTGAGTGTTGGAAAACCAGAGAGAGAAGTATGTAAACTCTGATATTTTTTGCAACTTGCCTAAGTCAAAGATTATTTCAAAATAAACGTTTATTTTAAAAACTGGCATGGTATTGACACAAAGTGCGTTAGTTTCCCAGAGCTTTTGTAACACAGTACCACAAGCCAGATGGCTTAAAACAACAGAAATGTAAGGCTGAAAGTTCAAAATTAAGGTGCTGGCAGGACCATGCTACCTCTGAAGGCTATCTAGGGGAGGACCCTTCCTTGCCTCTTCTTAGGTCCTGGTGGTTATCAGCAATCTTTGATCCTCTTTGGCTTGTAGCTGCATCCCTTCGGTCTCCGCCTCTGTCTTCACCTGGGCTTCTTCCCTGTGTCTCCACGTGTCCTCTCCTCTTGTTCTAAGGACAGCAGTAATACTGGATTTGGGGTCTACCCTAATCCTAATATGACCTCGTTTTAACTAATAAGTAGCCTGCAAAGACTCTGTTCCTAAATAAGATTTCATTTGGAGGTAGCAGTTTGACATGAATTTTTGAGGAGACACTGTTCAACCCTGTACACAAGGATGGGAAAATAAACCAATGGAACAGAATAGAAACTCTAGAAATACAACCACATACTGGGTCTGACTTACAACAGATGTGCCATTGCAACACAATGGGGAAAGGTGGATCTTTTTAATAAATGAATCAAATGAAAGTCTGCATGTAGATAAAAAGAATCTTGACCCCTGCCTCGCGTCGTATATAAAGACTAATTTCAAATGGATCATAGACCTAAATATGACATGTAAAATAACATTATTTTCACAACACACACAAAAGAGTATCTTCATGATCTGGGAGTAGGCAGATTGCTTTAACTGCACACAAAAAGAGCTGATATTGGGAAGAGTTGACAAGTTTGACTTAAAAGCTTCAGTTCATCAAAAGATAACATTAAGAGAATGAAAAGGCAAGCAATAGAGTAGGAGAAGATAGTTGCAATACATAGACCCAGCATAGAACTTGGATCTAAAATGTTTAAAGAACTCCTACAATCAATAAGAAAAAAGATAGCCAACTCATTTTTTTAAATGGACAACAGACTTAAAACAGGCATTTCATAAAAGAAGATACTCAAATGGGCAATAAACATATGAAAGGGCCCTAAACATTATTTGGGAAATGCAAAATTAAAACCAAAATGGGATACCACTGAACACCCACCAGATTGGCTAAAAAATTTTAAACTGACCCTACCAAGCAGTGGCAAAGCTGTGGAACAACTAGAGCTTTCATGCATTGCCTATAGGAGTAGAAATTGCTACAAGTGCTTTGAACTAGGAGTTCTACTCCTGAGCATATGCTCGACAGCAGTGAGTCTATATGTCCACTGAAAGACGTGTAGAAGAATTTGTATAACAGTTTTAGTCATAATAGCCCAAAACTGGAAGTAACCTAAATATTTGTCAACAGTAGAATGGATAAATAAATAGCTTTATGTTCATTCATACAAAGAAACAATGTATGTCAGTCAACAAGATAATTACCCCAACAACCTGGATGAATTCCACAAGTAACTGTTGACTGAAGGAAGCCAAAAGAGTATATACCGAAATGATCCATTTATGTAGTTCAAAAATAAGCATAGTTAATCTACAACGATAAAAAGTAGGATAGTGTTTGGAATGGACATTGATTGGGAAGTGTCATTTGAGGGATGCTAGAAATGTTCTATGTATTGATCTGGGTGACAGTTGCACTGTTGTGTATGTATACGTACATAAAATTATTTTTAATATCTATATTCTTAAGGCTTATGTACATTATTAGGTATATGTTATACTTCAATTCTTTAATTAAGAAAAATGTGATAAATATTGGAATATGTAGGCTGTCATCACTAAAAAAAGAATTGAGGCATCTTCATTAAAATATTTGATCTTTTGTTTTAACAAGATTTTACTTGAACTTATATATTTGGATAACATTTTATAGTTCACTGTTCACTTTCTTATAACATGTAACAGATATGTCATTTGGGTGTATTCTAGAATAAAGATTCTGGATTTAAAACCATAAATGATATAAATTAATACCAAAAATCAGCAATTAAATTTTTTTTCAAATTGTTGTATTAGAAATCTCAATATTGCATTGCTCATTTCTGTCTTTTAGGCTAAGACATCAAGCACACAAAGAATTTTATGCCTACAAACAGGTGAGCAAGATTTACCTAAGATTGGCTTTGATGTTTCTTACCTAAAATGAGAATTTGGAGTTCCATTCATATTTTAAACTGGGATTGGATTTACTTGTGTTCATTTTAGTATTTTGCTTGCCAGTTTGCATTACAAAATAGATCAACTTCACTTCAAGTATTCTTTTCCTTCTTAAGTATTACTTGAAGTTATAGAAAGTTCAGATGATAAAGTAATTTAACAGGGAACTTTGGCCAACATTTTGCTAAAAGGAAATGCTGTAGCTTAAAATCCTTACTGTTACTGTTACCCTAAATGGAGTTCAGAGATTCCATTAAATGAATTTTTGTTGTTATTTTTTTTAGTGGGAGTAGGTAATTAGATATATTTATGTATTTAGTTAATGGAGGTCCTGGGGATTGAACCCAGATCCTTGTACATGCTAAGCATGCACACTACCACTGAGCTATACCCTCCTCCCCAGTTAAATGAATTTTTTACCTCCTTCTTTATTAGAAGACATACTAGTTCCTCAGAGGTAACCAGCTATATTATAGTGATCTCATGTCCTCCCCTTTGTATTTTAAATGTTAGCTCACATCACACCATTAGAAGTCCAAATACTTGGATCATTCCTGTTAACCCCCAGCCCTTTGTACTATCCCTTTGCTGATTTGTTACTTAAGGTAATAATTTAGCTTTTCTTGAAAGCCAGTAAAATTTGTTACATGTGTTATCTGTTAATATTTTACCACTGACACCAAACAGTGGGCCTAAGTGTTCCTTAATTTTCTTTTGACCCTAAGCATAAAACTATTTTTGTTGTCTGTAGCCATTTGTGGGGGAGGGGGTTGGGAGGGCAAGCTTCAGTTTATTTGGGTCTTTAATCTTGCTGACGCTCATGTTACAGAGCCATGTAATCATTTTAGGATCCCATATCTTTTTGTCCATCTTTTGTGTGTCTCTGAAATCTGAACTCAATGGTGAGCTCCTTAGATGTCCATTCTTCCCCATGGGTCTTATGTGGGATTCATGTAAAGAAATGAATGTTTTAGTTTTCTAAATGAATGAATCCTTTTGTCTCAGTTCTATCGTCATCTTGACAACCTGCAAGATATTTGAATGTAAGCTAACTAGAGATTAAAATTGGCCATGGTGGTCATTTAAAAGGTGAGATTGATAGAAATAATTAAGTCACAAGACAGATGGCAAAAATGGTCTTTAAAATATACTGAATGAGAAAAAAAAGTGTATGTGTATATGTGTATATCTACATACATACATACATACAACAACACACACACACACACACACTGAATTGGAAATTTAGTACATCCCTGCTTAGCTGGATGGTAGTTTCTGGTTGCTATTTCTGGAAATATGACTTGTCCTCAAAACGATTTTTGGTTTAGATACTCAAGATTTAGAAATTTTCCCCAAATTTCACTTGCCCGTTTTTTCACTTTAAAATGAAATATAACTCTAGTAAACTAAGTTTATTCTTAGAAATATTCTTTTTAAATAGTAATCTGCCTTCTTGTCATTTTATATTCCTTTTAACTGACAGCCAGTCACCACAAAGTCAGATTGGGGACAGCACCTGGATGAACTTTAAGCCCATTTTACATAACATAAAATTTTCTGAGGATCATGATATATAATAATAAGCAAAACTTTCAAAATAACAATTGACTTACTTTTTAATCTTTTATAAGTTATCAGTCAATCCCACAAGCCAATACTGTGTTTTACTAAATCATAAGGCAAGCAATCTCATTTATTTTCCGCCCATATTAGCACTTAACTCCAGATAGGCATGTGTCAATGTCTTTTCCCAAAATTTAATATATTCTCAAAGAGATTTTAAAATTGCTTTTCAGGAGAATATTGCATCATTGCTCAAGTTAAAAGAATGTTGCTAAAATGTTCTGTCTCAAACTGTAAAAGAGATTCTCTCCAATACTGAATATGAGGGAAAATAAGCTATATACACAAAAGAAAAATATTTGTGAGTATAATGAGAAACTTTTTAAATTATAGATGTAAGTGGGCATAAGAGCATACTTTTTGTCTTACAGGTTATATTAAAAGAGAAAGTAAAAGAACTGAATTTACATGAGGTAAGTTGTTGATAAATATTTCAGAAGGCTGTGCTGGGAGAGGAGCTGGGTGTTTAAGGCCTGAGGACCTGTTCATACAGTCTAGGAGGTGGAACATCATTCCCCCTTTACAGATGGGAAGCTGAGGCCCAGGAAGGTCATCCCAAGGCTGGAACTGCTAGTTTCTCATCTTTATCCACAGCTTGTTCACAGCCTTCCTCCAGAAAACAAAAATGGGCTTGGGGGAGTGGATGTTGCTCAGTGGTAGAGCACATGCTTAGCATGCACGAGGTCCTGGGTTCAGTCCCCAGTACCTCCATTAAAAAAAATAATAAATGAAGTACTGCATTTATTTAAAAATGGGCTTGAAAATAGTGCTCCCATCACTAAATTTAAATATGAATAAAAACAGCTGGTATTGCTGGTGCCTAGGTGGTGACTAACTGCCTAGGTGGTGACAGTCCCAGGCAGGAGATGGTGGCAGGTAGCATCCTCACTTTACAGATGAAGGGGCAGAGCTTGAGAGGCATCGTGATGGCTGAAGTGACACAGCTAGTGGGTGTCTGAGCCAAGGCCAGCCGTCTGTCCTGCCTTCCTCCCTGCTCTCCTGCGGTATCAGCAGTAATGCCAGATCTGATAAGACAGTTGTCCATTCTCCTGCTCCCTGGAGAAGGGTGTTGGGAAGACCAGCATTCCCAGCACTGGCCATGGGGCCCCAAGGACCCACATGTCCTGTCACTTAGCCTAAGAATACTGGGTTAATGTTATAGGTTAAGAAACAGGTGACGGGGAGGCAGGTCAGCAGTTTGCACAAGAAATGGTGATGGTTGAACCAGCACCCCTGGAGATGGACAGGGAAGCACGCAGGGAGGAGTTCAAACTTTGGGCGGACAGAAGTGCACCAGAACCGGGGGCCCCAGCCTCAGGCAACATGGTTATTGCTCTGAGTTTCAGTCTCCCTCTCTGTAAAGAGAGTAAATGGGCTGATACTGGTGCCCCTGGGCACTGGTAAGTGTCTAAGAAGTAGTGGTTAGAACCTAGCCTCTGGATGTGAAGAAGGCTTCTTTCCAAGCAGTGGAGCCTAGCCACCTGTCAGAGCAATCCTGGCCCCATCTTCCCATTTTTGTAAGTTTCAATTCAGTGACTCTTGCATAACTTTTTATATGACAAAGACAGACACTGACAGAAGTACAGTGCCAAAGTAAGGGGCCCCAGGAACTACAAAAAGCATGTTACTGCAGGCTTTGCCCTGGTTTATAGTTTATACATTATAAAAGCCAGAGAAAGGAGATCCCCAGGGCCTGTCCTAGGGTGTGAGTGGTCCCTTCAAGGGCCATGCTGCCAAGCAGGCAGAACATTCCCTGCGGATAGTCAGCCCCTTGGCATAGCACAGAAAATCACATTGTGGTCAGTCTATCTGGTGAGAATAAACCTGTCAGACTCTTCTGATGGCACCAAAGTAAAGGAACCTGTCTCTTGCTTTCTGTCTTCTCCCATCTGCCCTCTGTCTTGAAGACATGTGATGGGAAGCACAGAAGACTCTTCTTCAGAAGACCTCGCCCATTCGAGCCTGTTTCTTTCGCTTAAAGAGTTGTGGGACATTGTAAGTCCCTTCAGAGAGCTGGCCCTCAGGGGCCTGCACTTTACTTTGGCCTGGGAGAGTGCTTCTCAGATACTTTGTCTCATCTGTGAATTTGTTTTTCAGCTCTGTGCAGTGTGTCTAGAAGACTTCAAGCCTCGAGATGAGTTGGGGATTTGTCCATGTAAGCATGCCTTCCACAGAAAGTGAGTATTAATGTGGAATTATTTAAGGGCACCTGAGTTTGAGGCACGTTGACCAACTCATTTGTGGGCTTGGGGCGGTGCCCGACAAGCTTGGTAGCTTTATGATTGGCTTATAATGCAAAAAGCCGAAGGCACCCTGCAGGGTGGGGCGTGCGTGCGTGCGTGCGTGCGTGTGTGTGTGTGTGTGAATGACCGTGACATTAGGAAGGAACCGGGTGGTAGAATATGACCACTGAGGCAGGACTTCAGGCAAAGAGCCAGACAAGCCTACACCTCCTTGGAGCCCAGGCTATAAAGAGCTATTTAACCAGAACTTTCCAATGAGAGTTTCCATTCCTAAAAACTTACTTTAATCAAAACCATAGTTGTTTTAAAACAAAATAAGTTAAGTCTGAATGTAAATAGTAGTGTGGAACCATCTCCTCCCCATTCCTACAGACATATTTAATATTCCCCCTTCTCTTGCAATTGTATGTGTTTTGCATTTCTGTTAGAAAATTTAATTTATACTCATCCCCACCACTCCTCAGTGTACTTCATTGTTTAAGAAGTCATGGGTGACTGAGGGTGTAGCATGCTGTCTGTGGCTTCATTGTATCACCTTTTGGAAGACTGGAGTCTCTGGTTCCTCCAGAGGGTGAAATGCGCTTTCCGCCTGGTGGGAGAACTCTTCTGGACCGGGCTGGTCGCCCAGTCCCCAGCTCTGGGCAACAGATGTGTTCATGTGAGACACGTGGACAGGGGTGCCATGAGACTGACATCTCCCTGTGGTGTCTCGTTCTGCAGGTGCCTTATTAAGTGGCTGGAGGTTCGCAAAGTGTGTCCCCTGTGCAACATGCCGGTTCTGCAGCTGGCCCAGTTGCATAGTAAGCAGGACCGTGGACCCCCACAGGGGCCCCTCCCTGGGGCAGAGAACATTGCATAGCTCACCACAAGGGTCAGACTGTTGCAGGATCCAGCGTCTGCCTGGAGCCGGGAAGAACAGAAGCAGTCTCTGTGCTGGCTGCGCTACCTGGGGCACCAGTTGCCACTTTCTTTGCCACATGAAGAACTCTTGGGCCAGCTGAGCTGGGAACCCAGACTTCTGGGTCTTGTGACAACCAAAGTACTCTGACACTACCCCATGAGAAGAGGAGTGGATGAGCCTTCGGGTTTGGGTCAGGAAACTTCACAAGGGTCTCTTGCTAACTCCATTACTCTCTGTCTCCCAGACACTTATCTCCATGTTAAGGTGAATCTTTATCAACCAGAAGGGAAGATAAACACAAGTGTTAGAGGAGGGACCGGTCTTTAAAGCCACCACCCTGTGACAGGACAGACCGCGTGCCTGGGCAGCAGCAGACCCTCCGGGCAGCCCCTGAGCCAAGTGAAAACAGTGGTTACCTCAGCCCACACCCAGCCGGTTCCAGTGCCGGAGGCAGTGCCAACAAGGCTTTTCACGTTAAGTTCCTTTGATAAGGTCGTCTTGAAACCCAAGGGCTTTGGTTACAACAGAGCAGCAGTGTCCCTTGCCACCAGTTCTCCCTTGAGTTCACAAGACTTGCTTATCAGATGATCTAAGCTAAAAACATTAGATGCACTTGGAAAGGTCTGGTCAGAAGCCATTTCCTCTTACTTCCCCCTCCCGCTCACCAGTGAGGCACAGCCAAGCTGCTATCAGGAGCCACAGCAGGGGGTGGGCCTCTGAGCCCATGCTGTCCCTGCGTGACCCGGGGACCCAAGGGTGCTGCCCACATCCCCATGTACACAGTGTGGTTCCAGCCTAGCTGCCGGTCTCGGCCCACTGCCTGAGTAGGGAGCTGCTGCGAGCGCCTCACACGGCTCCGAAGAGGAGCATCTTTCTGATAATGGCCAGTCCTCCTGGCCCTGGTGAGCTGAGAGGAGGATGCTGAACTCCTTGCCTCTGTGTCCTTCCCTCTGTTCTCTTCCCTCTCCTGCTCTCTTCCTACTTGAGAAAATGCCTGTTGTTAACTTTTTAATGATTTAAATCTTCCCAAATAAGATTGACCCCTGTTATTCCAAAGGTGGGGATCCACTTGAAACCGTGGCTTCAGGAAGCTCCTGCGGGGCTGTTTGCCGTGGGTGTGTGCCTCAGCATTCACACTTGGGGTAACTAGTTGAGGTGTCTTGATGGGAGAGAAATGCATGCTGCTCTTTGGCTCTTTCTGTCCAACTTTTCTAGAAATGACTCAGAGTCCATTAGGATTCATGAAAATTGTATAAGTTAACTATATGAAGCAGCGGTGGGTCAGGTAGGAAGTTCTTTTCCACAGCCCTGCTCTCCACCTCTTTCCATCTTAGGGGTGGACTCCTTGTTGACAGCTTTCTTTGCCTCTGCTCCATCCCACAGGTGTGAGTGGGGGCAGTTTCTCCTTGGAAATACAGCCTGCATGATTTGGAGAGAGTGAAGGAAGCTTTGCTACTGTGTTCATGGCATGTCTCCAGGAATTCTTTTGGAATCCAGCCTCTGCCATCTTAGAATGGGAGAGGGAACCTGTCTTTGGCTCAGGTGGCTGGGATCAGATGAGGAGGAAAATTCCCATTAGCCTAGAAAAGTGCTGGGCAGAGTCCAGTTTGGAAAGTTACAGATCCAGTTGGTCAGAATTGGCTGTTTCCTATGTGTGACCTCTTCGTGGTATGCCAATTGGACTGCTGCTTTAAACAGGGCAAGGGAGGTGTGGAATATTTTTATATGAAAGCCTTAGCCTGTTTGGCACCCATGAAAAGAACTGTTTGTACGCTCCTACTTTCGTCCTCTGTTTCTGCGTCCTCTAGTTATAGCACAATAGAGCTGAATGCTGCAGAGCGCCCAGCTCACAGTGAGGTGTTGTCACTGGCAATGTCAGAAGTGGGCTTGCTTCTGGACTAGTCTCAGTAATCGCCAGCACTCACCATTTTCACATAATGGCTTTGGAACAAATCTTTGTTATGGAGTTCCAATAGGAAAAAGAATTTTTCCCTACAAAGGAGGAATTTTTGTATTCTATACTACAAATTATTTCATCTCACAGCTTTTGTAGGATTATATAGCCTTTCAGTTGCAGCCTTTTTCCATCCGTGTGTGTCCGTATTTGTAGGGAGGCAAATTAATTCACCTCACTGTGTCATAGCCAAAGGCAAGCTGAGGTGGTTGGTGCATAGCACTGGGCGCAAAGCCCAGCTGTTAGAGGAGAGCTTGAGAATGCTACGCACTCTCCACTAGGCACCATCGTGGGTCTGCTTTACCCCATGACCTCAACATTTGTGAATGTGGACGGCTTTTAAAAATACAGCTCTTTCACGGAGGTGGGACTAAGCGTGTTCACTCTGCTTGTAGTTGTCTTTCTTTTCTTGGCTTGGTGTCCTGCTGTAGCATGGCCAGTGTCAACTGCAGTTCTCACACCTCAGCAACACAGTGCAGATGTGTTTGCTCCCCACACCTGGGGCTCCCTCCAGGACTTCCCTGGGCTGCACTGCTGTAACAGAATGGCCGGGGTTTAATTTATGTCTCCCTTTAATTCTGATTAAAACCACAGTTTTGTGTGAAAAGACAAGGTTAAATCTCCATCCAGGTTTTTTTTTTAATAAGTTAAGGATCTCTTAATACTGTTTGATAGTTCACACCTCACCCCACAGTGAGACCAGTGGGGGCTGCCCTGGCTGAATCTATCTCTATGAGTTGTTGACCTTTTGTTAATCTGTAGACACGTCAGGACTCTGATCTGCCTTTTGGCTGCTGGCTGGTGACATGGTGATTTTTTAACTTGGTCTTAATATGTCTTAAGCAGCTCAGATTGGTGTTGCTTGCGTGCTGTGGTTAGTGGAGCAGAACTCAGCCCCAACTGGACTCCATGGATGGCTGAGTCAGTATCTCGGTGTTACTAGGGGTGCAGCTGAATTCAGCTGGCTTTACGAACAGGGAACAAAACCAGCCTGACTTGATTCCTGGTTAAGCAGGCATAAGACACTAGTTGTCATATGCCACTTTTCTTTGCCGTAGTGATTTGGTTAGGCCTATCCCGAGTAGGAAGGTCCCTAGCCAAGGAACAGGACAAGACAGTAATGGCCAGATTGGGACAGGGAGCCTATGAGGAAGTCTGGGCTGAGGCGTACAGGGGACCTCACACCATTGCCTCATACCAAATGCTGACAAATAGATCCTTTCCCCAGTGCCTAGCCCTTCAGGTCCATCAGAGGAATGACCTTGGGCCCTGTTCTTTCCACAGCTCCACTCCAAAGCTTGTCATTTTCATGGCCTGCTCCCACTCTGCTAAGCTACTCTGAACCATTTGTAATTATTTTTCTGAGAGGCTTTCTGGGAAATTATGCACGCAGGGCAGCATCCCCAGAGCTCTGGGCAGAAAAGGTGCCGAGACTGATTTGAACACTGCCTTGCCACTCACCAGCCATGTGCCTTCCTGCAGGTTAGCCTCTCAAAGTCTGTTTGCTTATTTGCCCCCCCCCCCAGGGATTACAGCAACAGTGTCCTCACTGGCACTTGCGGGGATTGGCCACCATGTCCGGAGCCTGGTGGGCAGCAGGCCTGGAGTCATGGGAGCTGCTGCTACTAGGTGACATCATGCTGGCCACTGGGGCTCTGTTGTCCCAGTGGAAACAAACTCAGCAGAGCCTCCTGAGATGTAGGGGCTCTCCCCAGGTTCCTGGTTTGCCTGGCTCGTTTCCCTTTCCCCTCCTGATCTTCCTTAGTTGCTTCCAGTTACCTGTGCCCACAGTGCTCCCCGACTTGGTTGCTCAGTGGCTGAATACCTTAAGTTTTTAAAAAGGTACTACCTTCACACGGTTCTCAAATCACAGTTAAGTCTTCCTTGCATCTTTGACCTCCAACAAGCCAAGCTTTTCACCTGCTGAGTACCCACTATTTGTTCCTTATGTATCCTCCCAGAGATCATTTATGCATACACAAGCAAATACAGGTGTGTATGTATATATGAGTGTATGTAGGTATGTGTGTGTGTATATACAGTTGACCCTTGAATGACGGAGGGGTTAGGGGTGCTGACTCCTTGCACAATCTGCACAACTTTACAGTTAGCCCTCCATATCCAGTTCCACATCTCTGGACTGAACCAACTTTGGATCGTGTAGAATGTATTTACTGAAAAAAAAATCTGCATGTAAGTGGACCTGCACAGTTCAAACCCATGTTCAAGAATCAACTGTGTGTACTTAACTTTTTTTTTAACTTAATACTGGACAAGTATATTCAAGGAGCATTCCTATTCATGTGGGAAGAACCATCCCAGAAGTCAGAATATCTGTAAAAAGGTGAGCCCAGAATTGGGGGATGTTTTTGCAATCACATCTCCTTTGAATAAGGCATATTTTCCATTGACTGAAGCATGCTGAAATTCTTTTTTATATAAATCAGAAGCTACAATCCCTCCCTGACCCTGACCCTAACCATAGACAGATGCCCAAATGAGAGCACAACCAGTTTCCATAGATCCTCCTGATCTGACAGGACACTCAAACAGGCGCCATGGCCAAAAGCGACAGCACAGCCCAGCAGCCCCTGCAGGGGCCTGGACACGCTGCAGCCCCACCCCCACCCCCAAGTGAGGACCTGGAGTTGCACAGTGACGTCTGGCTACAACGGTGACGGTTTCTTAGGCAAGGTCCCATTTTTGAGGCAGGATTTTGAGAAGCAGCAGTAACTGAAGGCTGAGGCATCCTTGTTTTGTGGGGCCAATGTCTCAGATGTTGCTGAGCAAACAGGTGGTCAGCCGCCTCAGAATTAACAGCAGATTTGCCTGAAAGTCCAAGTTCACAAACCAACCTGCTCCCTTCCCCTCCCCACTCTTCCTGCACACACTAAAAAGCAAGCATCCCCATGGAATTTTCTCCTTGCCCAATATTTTTTTCTATTCAATAGATGGGATATTCTCCCCACCAATATTTTCTTCTAAAAAAAAATTTTAAGTTCTTTTTTGCCCCTGCAGGAGATCAAAGTTAAAGCTGCTGCTTCCAGGCAGCTCTGCTCCCTGGGCCAGCAAAGGCCTAGCGGCTTTGCATCTTGGGCAAGGTGCACACTGTCCTTCCGTCCACTCCTTCCCTCCCAGGCCCCACAAGAGTGGGAGGCAAGTGGGGCCAGTATTAGGAAGTCCTTCCTAGTGATAGCTCAGTCTTCCAAGAGAGTGTTCCTGAACTGTCATTTCTGGGTCTCTTGACAGATCATTGCCAGAAAGGAGGGTATTAGTCTTGTAGTTTAAGCCCAATGGGATTTATTCACTAAATATCATATAACTCCCTCAAAAAAAGGTTTATGAAATGCTGAGCCTCAGGTTTCATAGACATGTTCGTACACTAAGAATTCTGCAGCAGAATATTTTTAAACATTTGCCTTTTTTGTAAGCTATATTTTTGTATATTTAATTGCTATTTTAAAATTTTAATGCATTTTGCTAATTACTCTGGTTTAAAAAATAAAACATGCATGTAATTGACTTAATGTAAATAAACAGATTTTGAAAGTACTTCGTGCTGAGCACGTACCCACCCTTGGCCACCCACACTCCACTTAAGCCCACGTAGCAAGAGCTGCAAAGTCAAGATGAGTGTTTCTGAACAAATGAAATTGGTCATCAGCAACAGATGATTGTGATGGAGGAGCTTCCAGCTGGTCTCCTCCTGTGGTGTGGGGTGCAGGTGGGACACAGGTCAGCGGTGATACATAGAGCCCCAGGCCACAGCAAGGGGGAAGGCAGAGGCCGAGTCCCCACCAACCACCCTGGCTGGCTTCAGCGTGCAGATGTGGCTGGACACAGACAAGCAGTCTCCCAAACGTGGGTGCTAGTCCTAAAGGGGGTTGAAGTGGCAAACTAGCGCACGCTCCACCCCTCTCGCTATGTCCCAGGCTGGGAAATACCAACTATTCTGTTGGGAGGAGAAAAAAATCTCTCGGTCCAAAGCCACCCTGTGGCAGCTGTTTCTACTCACCAACCCTCACTAGGACCTCTGAGCTCAGTTTCTGCCCCATAGCTTTAGAAACTGCTCCCCTCAAGGTCATGCATGACCCTGCAGCCAAATCTGGGCCACCTCTGAAACCTCCTCTTAATGCAGGCTCCTGGAGAGCTCCTCTCCACTCATTCTCCTGACCAACAGGCCCCACGCTAGTCCCGTGACCACCGTTTTGTGTTCTTTGCAGCTGTTTCCTTCTCTGCCTATCTTATTCTCACTCTAACTTGGGATTCACTAAATCCCTGCCTACAGTTTACCCACCTACACGCACATCATTCTCGGGTCTGTTATTTCCAACCCAAATATCAGCTGCCTATTTGGTATAGAAAATCAGGCAGCCCCAAACCAAGTCTCCCCAGCAAGTCTAGGTGCCCTCAACAGAACCTCCCTCCCCCATTTCCAATCTCCACATGTCAAAACTCAGCCCTCTGAAGCCTCTCTATCTACCTGGCCATCCGCCGTTCCCATCTTGGTTTGGCCCCCTTCCTTTCACACCTGGACAGTGACCACAGCCACTACCACCCCGACTAGTGCCTCTACTAGGGGAGTGGGGAGGGACCCTCAGGCTACAGAATGTGGAGGGGAGAGTGGAAGGGTCAACTGCAGAGATGAGAAAGGGCAGTGGCTTACACCAGGGTGGTGCGGTGGTGAGTAGAGATTGAGCTTACATGTATCTCACAAGCTAGAAGTAGTGAAGTGGCAGTAAACTGGGAAAGGATCCTGGTGGATGTTCAGGGGAGAAGATGGAGACATTTCTGTGTAGAGAAGGGAGAAGAGAAGAGGAAGCAGTCATTGCCTTGGGACTGGGACTCAGAAGCAAGGGGGTGGGCTAGACATGGTACTTGGAAAATCAGAGTTAAGGGGAGTGCTGATGATTGCTTAGGGAGATCCAGGACTGAGCCTGAGGGCTGTCAATATCTAATTGTCTTCAGAGGAGAATAAACTGGCAGAGACAAGCGGCCTAGGCGGCAGAAGGAAAAGCAAGAGGGCTCTACAGTGTTAGAACTGACGTCTTCATGAGGACATTAAATGTCCATTAGATTTAGCAATGGGATTCACTGGCATACAAGGATGGACTTGAGCACAAAGCACAAAGTGAAGTCACAGAGGCAGCTTCTCCAGAATACGAAGTGGTGCAAGGCACGAGAGGAAAGGGGGCTCTGCCTGATTTTAGCCGTGTGACAGGTTTCCTCCTCTGTTAGGATGACCAAGGCTGCACGAGATGACCACAAAAAGCACTAGCACAGCCTCATGAGCACAGTTCACGCAGGGAGAACAGGCTGGACCCACGGGGTCTTGGAGGCTGGCCTGGGTCTCCATGGGCAGCAGGCTTGCTCCTGCTCCGTCCCTTTTCCAGAGGAAGAGTGCTTCGCCTAGAGGACGCTGGGAGGAAGCCTGGGACACGAGGGGCTGGGGAGGCATGACTGTGGTACCAATGAGTGGGCGGCGGTGCTGACTTTGGCAGCTGTAGGGGAAAGTTGAGGCCACCAAGCACATGGCTGGAAGCAGCCGAGGGCAGAAGAGCAGAAGGACAGGATTGGAGGTGGCTCAGGCTGAGGCCCAGGAGGAGAGGCAACAGCAGAGGAGGCTGATCACCACCAGGGACCACAATTCCCATCCAACCCAGTGTCACTCCAGCAATATGGCCTGCACCAGCCAACAGCACCCACAACCCACAAATTCAGAAAAGTGTGCAAGGGCGGTCACCCTTGGGAAATGGCACTGGGCTGACCCCACCCCGGCTCTGCCCTTCCTGCAAGAGGGTGGACCATAGCTCTCACAACAGGCAAGCCTCTGTTGTCCCCACGCTGCCGAAGCCCGCCCCTCCTCCCTTGACAACCAGCCCTACCCTCCTGCACACCTCTGTCCCTTGGAACCTTGCCTCCCATCCAGTCCCTCCCAGGCCAATCTCACCTGAAACCAAGGGGCACAAAGAGGCCACAGAGCCCTGGGGTTTCATTCTAGTTCAAAGACTGCCTTATACAGACCTTCATTGCCTCCAACAGGGATGCAGGAACCAAATAATACAAAAAATAAGATACAAATGTTGCTCTATCTCCAAGGAGAATGTTTTTCAAATTATTCTGCACAGCAGAAAAAAAAGGTTCAAAGTCAACCTCTACCAAGACCCCATCTGTCCTCAAGCTGCCTTTTGAGCCTCCCACATACAGCCCCCGACACTGGGGATCCAACTGAGCCAGCCTGCCAAGGCAGGTCCCAGCAAGCACAAGGCAGGAGTGGAAGGAAATCAGGAGAGCCCCAGCCTGCTCCCCATGAGTTAGTCAATGGACACCCCAATTCCTCCCTTTCTACCAGCCAGATATAACCAGATTCCGCCCCTGCCCCTGTTCCTTGAAAAGATGTAGCCCTGTGTCTGCTTTCAGTCTTCCAGATGTGCCTTTTCTACTAGCTTACTTCCAACACGTCAGTAATCCCCCCACTACCCAAGGAAACAGGATCTACAATGTAAACAATCTGGAAATACCTTCCAAAAATTGCCTCATTGTTCAAAGTTTCAGGTACAGAATTAACCTTTCCAGTAAGTTTGCAGAACCTTGAAACAAAACATGTTTTTCAATATGTTCACACAGGCTAAATGCACACCAGAATGAATGCACAGAAGATGATCTCCAAAGCCATACTGACAAAACTGTGATTAGATTAGATTACAATACACAGCAGCTTGCCTTACATTTAGGAAGTTCAACAGGACACAAAACCACAGCCAGCTCAGCACAGAACAGCTCTCCCCCTGAAGTGGCTCCACCGAGTAATGCTGAATTTCAAAAATACACAGCAAGTTGAACAAAGCCATACTGAAGGGCAACTTAAATACAGCGAATCCTCACCAACATGGACATGGTCCGCATTTTTTAATATGTATCTTTCCTTACTGGTTATTAGTTCAGACTGAATTTTTAAGGATTTATCTTGATGACTTAGAAAAATACACTTGTCCTTTCTCGCTTTGATTCAGGTAGTACACAATCATAAAACTGAGTAAGTCTCTTAAAAAAACAAAGGTCCACAGATCCCATCATGGAAGGTTCCAGGAACCCCTCCCCAGGTAGCTATCAGGGAATCTTCAATAGCTCAAGGAGTGCTCCAACAGCTCCAAAATAACCCTGCAAAAAAGAAGAAGAAAAAAGAAAAATAAGAGCGATTCTCCTTAGAACTATTTAAATGACCATAAGTACGATTACCAGCATTAAAGCCAGCACAGCTCTTAATTCCTGACACCCATATTGCTGAGCCCAAGGCCAGCCTGGGAGCAGAGCTGCTCCAGGAGCCCCCAGGCCAGGGGGGAGGGTTAACCGTACCAGACACTCTGGCACGTCAGACCAGAACCCCCGAGCTATGAGGCCCGCAGCAGCCCAGTGACCTCTGGAAAGAGACGGCACCTGACTGTCTCCTGGGGCATGAGGAAGTAAGAAGCTGCAGGGGCTGGAGCATTTCCAGACAACTATGGGATGAGGGGAGGATGACACATGAAGTGCAGTGAAGCGGAAGTGGGGGCAGGTCACAGAAGGTGAGGGCCTAGCTGGTTGGGGGTGGGAAGGAGAGCAAGAAGGGGGTGGGATGGGTTTAAGACTTGCCAGAAGAAGCGGGGGGCAGTAGGGAGGTTTAGGGCCCTCCCACGCATCTGGTGCCATCACCCCTGAGAACGAGGACACAGGAACAAGAGATGTGAAGAGCAAGGGAACGGGCTCCACACAGGACATGCAAAGCCAAGTGCGCCGGGCAGCTGGGCAGCCGCATCCAGGTGGTGACGGGACGTCCGGATCCGGAGCTGAGCAGAAGGCAGGGCAGCACTGGCAGAGGCAGGCAGCAGAGGAGGGGACAACAGAACCCTAAGGCAACATGCAGAGAGGGACGAGGACGGAAGAGCAACATCCGAAGACCAACACAAGCACCTGAGGAGAGGACAGAAGCACGAGACAGAGGCAGCAGTGGAAGAAAGACAATGCTGGACCACCTCCTGAAATAAGCGGTCACAGTCAAATACAACCAAGACACAACAACCCAAAGACAAACCAAAACAAGGATTAAATAGAAAAGAAGACAAAACCCATACTGGCAGAAAGAGAAAGCCAGCAGGAATCAGAATAAGCTTACAATGATACAGAATCCATCAAGGTCTCCAAAGGATGAGATCAGATAGTAAAGTACTTTAAGAAATGACTGAAAAAGGAAATGGGAAGATCCCGAAGATTTGCTGTGGATTACAAGAATGTACCTGAAGACTCGGAAATATCAAATAACAAAGCTCCAATATATTTTCCAAGAAAAGCTTCTCCAAAAAACACGCAGCCACACACCAGAGAGGCTGAAGCCTGCCCTTTCACTCTATTTCTTGGTTTTAAAAATAAGCAGCCACGCGGATGTGTTATAAGAAAAGGCCAGAAACTGCAGGAGGGACACAGCTGGGCAAGACCCACAGCGCTCAGAAACCCCCAATCACGTCCAGAGGACAGAGTTCAAGGGTGTTCACAATATAGCAGTTGGCTACACACTTTATGTGGTTTTCTGTAGCTGGGTTTTATTTCACAACAAAAAAGAAGAGAGAAAGTTAACCACTACACTGAGTGCCACTGAAGACCCAGAACCTACCACCCAGTAAAAAGGCAGACAGGTTGCTATAAGCCAAGAAGCATGAAGGGCAAGAGAAAGGCTTGAGTAGAATCTATACAAAGCTCTCATGATAGTTATGCTGACTTCAGTGTGAGGGCAGGAGAGTATGTTATGACTTAGTCTAAAATAATCAGAGTTCCACAAGTGCAGAGATCAACACTAGAGTCACAGGCCTGAATATAAATGAAAAACAGTGCTAACCAGAGGGCAGGACCTAAGAATGACAAAATGTAAACACAAAATTTCATTAAGGGTTCATGTCATAACTATTATGATATAAAAATGTAAGTTAAAAAATAAAGTTAAACTAAGAAACTAGCCTCCACGTTCTGGCCAGAAAAAGGTCCAACAAGAGGTAGAAACTCAGCAGGACGCAGGTTATACTAAGACGTAACATTAAACAGGGCTTCTTTTTATTCTAGTATTAAGCAAAACAAAACAGGTCAAAAATCACAAAAAGCAAGATGTATGTAAAAGCTATAAGAAACAATGGTAATTCAGTACTGATTTACTAATATAATAACATTAGAGGTTAAAAAAAAGTTAGATGACTTAAACTTTAAGCTTTTTATGGGGAATTTACACACTTTGGGTTTTAACTATGAACTTAAGCGACTGAAAAAGAAAAACTTAGAGCAACTTTTAAGGAAAAAGCAACCTCTCTGTGTCACTTCAAATCCTACTCTGACTTCTGTCAACTTATATAAACACTGTTAAAGTAAATAAGCACATACAATTGTGGAAAATGTTCATGATAGTTTAACACCATCTACAATCCAGCAACATTTAAAAGAGTCTGACTGCCCCACAACCAAGGGGAGGAAAGAGAAAGCCCCTTCCACAGCTCTGGTTCTATTGTCCCTCAAAATGAAAAACAGGTTGAGCAACTCAATGATTCTTTTCCATTCTGTCATCTCTAGCCTGCCTATGTGCTAAGTTCTTATGACAGTGTGGTTCTAATCCTGGAATATTTTTTTACTGATCTATTAGAACATACATCTTAAATAAATGGACATATAAACTAATCAACACATAAAAACCGACACCCAAAAATGAAAAAAGGAGAATTCAGAGTAAGCACATTTACAAAGTAAGTGCAAACTGCAATGGGGAAAGTATAAAGGAGGGTTCAGAAAAGAACATGGCATCAGGAATACAGCTGTTCATCAAGACTTCCTTCTCCAAAATTGCTGAAGCTCACAATTAAATTAACCAAAAATCTACCTTACATTAAATCACATAAGAAACAGCTTTTGAACACGACCAAAGTTAACCCACATCACACAAGCACAGAAACAAATAAGAAGCACAGCTTCAAATCCCAGTGCAGGGTGAACCACACGCCCTTTGTGAAACAGCACATCACAGAAAGTAGGTCCGCTTACCTCGTGTTCCGAAAAAAGTGCTTTCAACTGTCCCTTGGACCAATAATCCAAAGCATAGGCCAAAAGCCGCATGGCGATCGTATTTATTCTCAAGAAATTTCCAACAAATACCACCTGGTTAATGTTCTGAGCACATCAAAAAAAGGCAATTAGTTTTCATCTTAATTTGTTCTCTCGTAAAAGTTACCCCAAAGAGTGTACCATGTACAAAGTTTTTAGCAGCAAGTTGATTGCTGATGAAAAAAGTAGTATTTACATTTAATTCAGTTGATTCAGGACTACTTAAATTTGATCCCCAGACAACTCAAGACCCACTTCAAACCATGCCAGAAAACGTCACAGGAGAAAACAGATTGGGAAAAGCATTTGAATTAAACATGGCAAACAACAACTACTATTAAACAAAAAGTTTTATACAGATAAATAAAAAAAGCAAGATCCAATTCAAAGGAAATAACGCAAATAGACAAATTATACAAAAATATCACAGAAAAGAAAAAATTCAACCTAAGTGATCAAAGAAAGTAAAATTTTAGATCCATTAAAAGTTAGCAAAACAACTAACTGAAATTCTACCCCCAGTATTAGTCAAATTGTGATAAAACTGATTCACTCATTCATTGCTAAAAATGATTTAAATTGGTGCAGCTCTTGTACAAAGCATCTTGGCAATACCTATCAAAGATTCATAAACATGACCACATTCTGTAGATAAGAAATCTCACTTCTGAGTAAGTCCCTTACCAAGAATAAATCATCCAAGGAATAACTCCATACTTAGAAATGCTTTACTGCAAAGCTATCACTGGCAACCCACCAAATGCCCAGCTCTACATGAATGACTTACGGTATAAAAATCAAATACATAGCGAGACAATTTAAAATATTTAAGTGAGAAACATAAAATGGTATGTACACCAACTAAAATACCTTAAAATACATAAGCACAGGAAAAGGAACATGCAATAAAGAAAACAGGTGTTCAAATATTCAAATAAAAGATGTTTAGTTACTTGATGCTGATACAGTATCTTTTTAATTAAAAATGAGACAATCCTTTTGTACCTTTTGAGGTTTCCTTTAAAGTCACATGCCTATATTATCTATTTTAAACAAAAGTGTATAAATAGGGACAGGCTATAAAGCTGCACCAACTGGATGCCCCAGGGAAGGCCATTCTCAGTTCTTTCATAGCCCTGTACAATGCTGCTTGACCTGAATGCTACAAGGCAGCACTGTAAAGAAGCTGAAAGCACAAAGACAGCTCTGCTGCAGTAGAAGGGGGCGGGGACATTTCTCGGCCCACTCGGTCTTCGCCCAGCTTCAGTGCCTTTCTCTGCATTCCTTCCCAGCGAGCTCAACAGTGCACAGCGCTGGGACTCAGCATTGCCACCCACCGCCACCGCCCAGCAGTACCGTCACTGCAACGCTGGCTCCCTTCCCTACCACCCTCTACTCTCTCCTCTACCTCTAGGTAACAGCAGTGTTTACCTTTAGTAAGGGAAAAAAATCAATTAAGATTATTAAGCTACACGTGAAAAGTTTTAACTTTGCCAATGTAGCAAACTGCACTATTTACAACTACATTTAGGCACTGTTTGGAGAAGACAGAACGTTGCATACAAGGTGGGGCCCACACAGTAAATTCTGTATTTTCCTCAGAGCAACTAAAGAAATCCACGTCCCCTTACTTCATTAAGGGCACACATTCTTGCTATTGAGCCAATGTTGTTGGTGATGGTGATCAAAGTCGCTCTGGCGAGGTCCTCTTTACTGACAGCCTCTCGCTTCTCCTTGCTCATCATGTTTCCAAAGCTGTGATGGAAAAAAACAAACATACCACTGCTAAACCAAAGGCAACACAGCCCAAGAGAACATCAGTGTTACTTTATTAAGATAAAAGTGACTTTCAGGGCAACATTGTTCAACTCTTCCAACTTTTTATTGCAAAATAACAGAGCATCTGTTCAAAGAGAAATACAACTTCAAGAACTCAAGCACTCTGATCAAATAATATTCTCTGCGGTTTCCACTGAAATCTAGCTTTGACATCATATAGCTGCACATTCAGACCCACTGTAAGGCACCATGCTCCGGCAACCGGCTAAGTTCAGGACACCTCAATTAACAATTCGCCCCCAACTACAAAGCTGTGCCACTCACCTGAATCGTCACATTCACATCTCGCAAGCTGCTTTATCTAAGCAAAGCAAAGTACAGACAGCTGAGTTCCAAGAGTATACTACTTCAGAGTTTCAGGTCTCCCTATTAGATCAAGTATTTCAAAGAAACTGAACCAACAGAATTGATGTATTAATAGTTGTGACCTGAACACAAACCCAACTAATCAGAAAAGGAAGTGATTATCAATGAGCAAATGCCACACAAACAGAAAATGAAATCTCCAGCATTCACAAAGTGCCTAAAATTAGTAAACACGCATGTATATATGAGGGCTTTTTCTATTATTATGGGAAAAAAACATGTCCCCCAAAACACACACACAAAACTGTATTTCCAAACAATCCAAAAATGAAATTAAGAAAACAATTCCATTTACAGCAGCATCAAAGAGAATAAACTACTTATTTAACCAAAGAATAACATCTGTACACTGAAAGCCACAAGACACTGGTGAAAGAAAGCAAAGATCTAAATGGAAAGCCATTCTATCTTCTTGGGTCAGAAGAACTAATAGGTCAGAATGGCAGTACTCTCCAAAGTGATCTTACAGATTCAACACAATCTCTATCAAAATCTCACTTGCCTTTTGGTGCACATATTGACAAGCTGATCCTAAAATTCATATGGAATGTCAAGGGACCCAGACTAGCCAAAACAATCTTGAAAAAGAAGAACAAGTCAAAGGACTCACTCTTCTCAATTTCAAAACTTAGTGTTACAAAGCTCCAGTGATCAAGGGAGTGTGGTACTGGCGTAAGGACAGAAATACAGATCAATGGAATAGAACTGAGAGCCCAGAAATATACCCATACATTTATGGTCAAGTGATTTACAACAAAGGGGCCGAGAGAATTCAAAGGGGAAATAAGTCTACCCAACAAATGGTGCTGGGACAACTATATATCCATACGCAAAAGAATGAATTTGGAACTCTACCTCACACCAATTAACTCAAAATGAATTACAGACCTAAATGTAAGAGCCAGAAATATAAAATGCTTAGAAGAAAATGCAGAAGTAAACCTTCATGATCTTAGGTGAGGCAATGGTTTCTTATATGTAACACCAAAAGCACAAGTGATGAAAGAGTAGACACAAATCACTTCATCAAAATGTAGAATTTCTGTGCTACAAAGGCCACCATTGAGGAAGTGAAAAGACAACCAACAGAATGGGAGAAAAAATTTACAAATTATATACCTGATAAAGGACTTATATGCACAACATGTAAGAATTTTTACAATTCAGTAATAAAAAGACAAATAATCCAACGAAAAACATCAGCAACAGACTTGAATAGACATTTCTCCAAAGAAAGACAAAAGAGCCAACAAGTACATGAAAAGATGTTCAACATCATTAGTTTTCAGGGAATGCAAATCAAAACCAAAATGAGAAATCACTCTACATTTATTAAAGCAGTTAAAACTAAAGACAGACAATAATAAGTACTAGCAAGGATGTAGAAAATTTTAAACTCTTATATACTGTTGGTGGGATTGTAAAATGGTACAGCCACTTTGGAAAGTCTGACAGTTACTCAAAAGATTAAACAGTTACCCTATGATCCAGCAATTCCACTCCTAGGTATATACCCAAGAGAACCAGAAACACGTGTCCACACAAAGACTTGTTCTTCAATGTTTACAGCACCATTATTCATAATAACCAAAGAGATGAAACAACCTAAATGTTTATCAACTGATAAATGGATAAATAAAATGTTGTATATCCACACAAAAGAATATTATTCAGCAATAAAAAGGAACAAAGTACTGATTCATGTTACAACATAGATGAACACTGAAAACATTATGCTAATTGAAAGAAGCCAGTCACAAAAATCACATGTTGTGTGATACCACATAGAGACAGAAAACAGACTAGTGTCTACTGGGGACTAGGGGTGGGGGAATGGGGAGTGACAGCTGACGTACATAAAGTTTCTTTCTGGGGTGATGAAAACTTTTGAAAACTAGATTATGGAGATGGCTGCAAAATTCTATAAATATACCAGAAACTGCTAAATCATATACTCTAAACAGGTGACTTTATAGTACATAAAGCTATTTAAAAGGTAAAAGATACACCCAATAGTTAATGCTTTAGCCCTGTATTTCTTAGAGTACACACACCCTTTCCCTTACCTCGAAGCCACTGCCCAGCCTGGCAATCCAAACCTCTCATAATCCCCTCCATAAATGTCTCGCACTAGTTTATCCACTTTGGTGCTATCTCCACGTGATGCCATTTCAAGAGCTTCTTCAAATGTGGTACAGCCGGTAAGAAGACAGCAAAGACCAAAAAACGTTCCTCCTCCAAGACTGTGATTAAAAATAAACATAGTATTATAGCCATTTTCAAAATAAGAATAGGAAGATAATGTTTATGAACCCCAAACCATATTCATATATCTACCTACTCTTGCCCCAACCCAGTCGTGCAGATGCCACCAATAGGAAACAAGTCTGTGAAAACATAAACATGGAGTGCCTAACAGACACCTTGAAGAGACATATTCATGTGAGCCAGCAAAGTGGCAAAACACAGGACCTGCCTCCCTGCCCGCGTCCTCAATGCAGTCTGGATTACCTGCGGAGTAGGAGGAACCTCAGGTGCAGATCAGCCCGCAATACCTGCGGAGTAGGAGGAACCTCAGGTGCAGATCAGCCCACCATACCCAGGGCCATGAGGGCACCTCCTTCCTTTCTCCCTCCAAGTGCAAGCACCAAGCCATCCCCAACCAAGCATCTCGTCACCCTGGGTCATCAGCCCCTCTCCCTGACTAGAACTCATCTATGAATGTGCTTTCTCTCCCAAAAGTACCTCTTATCCTTTAACTCGAACTTGTTTAAAAAAATAAAAATTAAAAAAATAAAACTTGTTTATGCCAACACCCACCTGTTTTTCCTCAAGTGATTTGTCATCTTTGAACCAAAAGGTATTCAATTCTCATCTGCCACCTAATCCTCCCTTTTTGGGCTACCCTCTCCCAGTCATTTTTCTACTGCTCAGTAGCTCAAGTTCTAGACCTCACATATCCCGACCACATGCGTGTGTGTATACATGTAAACTTTAGGCCGCTTTCAAAGCTGGGATCTTGCCTTGCCTTTCCCTTATAGATGCTACCTCGTAGCCCTGGTTACACTGTATGCACACCATACACTACCTGAGGGCAGGGACTAGGGCTCAGTGGCCTGCTGATAGGATATTCTATGAAACTATGGTAATGAAATCTTCAGCAATAGAGATGAAAGAAAAGTAGATCATGAAATCAGAATTTCCAAAGAGAAACAATATTTGCTTGTATAATCCCAGAGAAACATACCCTTCATATAATTTTAACAAGTTCTTAAAGATGTACTTAAATGCAATACCTGAAAACTAAATTTCAACCTATTATGATATCAATAATAAACAATGTCCTCTATACAAAAGACCTACCTGGTACCCGTGACTCGTTTGTAATTATCTTTGGAATATACTGCTAAGATGCTAACCCCAGAGCCAATGTTCACCAGAAGAAGAGGGTATGGATTTTTCAAATCAAATGGTAACTTCTGACATTTTTCAGAATCAGCAGGGTTTTCAAAGTAATAGCACTGTGATCGTCCATTAAATCCAACTGAGTCAATGTATAAAATTCCTTTTATTAAGCAATCGAGTTCATCAAGTTTGCAAAGCTGAAGATCACCTATCTGTAATGAAACAAAAATGTATTCAGATTTTTTTTAACAAGCCAAACAGAAATAAAATCTCCATTTAATAAGACATCCCGTCTACATCAGACAAACCAAAAAAGGGCTCATGGACATACATTACTTGTGCATGTTCTACAGAACAGATCTGGAAACAACAAACATAGGGATGAACTAACAAGCCAGATTTCTGCCCCCAACGACCCAAATACACTCTACCTACAAACCACTGCAGCAGCTGGAGAAATGTGCCAAAAACCCAAGCAGATAACAAGATGTCTGCTTACGGGAACCATGAGGCAGGAACATAGCTGAGGTCATAGCCCTACCAGAAAGCAGACTCTAAAAATATCCAAGCAATGCAAGCACCTGGTGACACACAGCAGGAGCCACAAGGACTCCAACCTCTACCTCCAAAAGACCATCTTCAAGGCTACAGAGCAGTATCAAAGTAGGCCACACTGTGTTATTAATAACCTGAAGCCAAAGGGCTGAAAATGTCCAATTAAAAGGCAAAAGTTTTCAATCTAAACCAGTTACAGCGGGTGGGGTGGGCAGGAGAAGCAGTTCAGCAGAATCAAAATTTAAAACATTGTTATCAACTTAATTCTATTTAAATAATTAATAAGTGAATGGTGAAATTACTGTTCAAATTTTGGAGCGCTGTAAAGCAATTAAGAATGAAGAGGATTTTTACTGAATTAAGAATTGAAGTGGGAAGAACTCCATGACATGTTTTTAGTCAAAAAAAAAAAAAAGCTGAGAAACATTTTATAAAATATGATCCAATTTGCCCATTTCTAAAACTATGTGGGGGTGGGGGTATAGCTCAGTGGCAGAGCATGTATGTGTTCAGTATACAAAGCACCTGGCTGGGTTCAATCCCCAGTACCTCCAAAAAAAAAAAAAAAAAAGTTTACCTGCACAGAAAAACTAAAAAGATACACAGACTTTTAACAGTGATGACTTTAAAGAGATGATATAAAGAAATTTTCACTTTTTACACTATGAACTTCTAACCCATTTGAATGTTTACCAGCATATCTACTCGACGTTATGTGACAAATGTAGACGCCTCAACTCACTAACACACCTATTTCTGTTTATAACTAAGTTTAGCCCTGCAAGTCCTCCCCTCCTTTAACTCAACTTCCGTTTGATTACATTTACACTCAATTTATAACAATCCACAGGAGATGGAAATTAACAGGTAACTTCCTCTTAATCCTTAATTAATCCCTAATTAAGAATATTAAGTTACTCCTCTGACCAAACCCAAGCCTGTGAAGTGTTCATCAATGTCCTTATTTCACCTGCTCATGCCCTCCCTGCCATGATCATGATAAATTCAATTCCAACTTCCTGACACTTGAATCTCAAGTGCCAGCATTTTCATTTTGAAGCCAAGTCATTTTACACTGGTCGCCTACTGGAATCAAAGTGGTTTTCTACCACTGTACGTCAAACCATCCCCTTTTAGCTTTCCTGTAATTGATGTTATCCTGAAGTGTCCTGCTATGCTATTATTCCTAATGAATCCCAGCCTAACTGATAAAGTTAGATGACTGAATACACGAGTAATTTCACTAACTCAAGTCACTCATAATGTAGGTGTTGCACCAACAAGCAAACTCAATACAATATGAGGAAACCTGATTCACATAAAAATAGAAAGGACAAACTCAGTATTTTAAAAAATACTTCAGTGTGGTTTATTACATTTTAGTCACCCTTAATGCACAAACCGGATTTGTGAGGCATCTTGCCTTCACACAGTTTTCAAGGATAGCCCTGGTGCAGACAGATGAGAAACACCAACAGCCTAAGAGCTAATTCCTAAGGCCTAGAATCCACTCTGCATCTCTCCTTGTATACCAACACAACACAGAACCTCTGATAACAGCCTGAGTGGTTTTCAAGTATGTTCCAAAGGCATCTACATGGTCCGAGAAACAGAGCATACACAATTCAGAGTCCTACCATGTACAATTCAGAGTCCACTATAACCACAAAGTAAGGGGATCTCTCCTCCTGCTTTCCCATTTACTCGTAAGTGCAAAAGAAACCACTGAACACCAACAACCAAGAAAAACTCAAGAGCAGAATATAAAACCTTGTTTAAAAATTCATGTCAATTTTGTATTACGATGGTCAGTTACGGAAGAAAGCAGATAGAGGACAAAGAGAACAAGGTCACAAACCACACAATGACACACAGGAGAGAAAAGATGCAAAATAACATAGACAAAGGCAGAATCTCTGTAATATTCTCACTGGTGGTATTAAACACATGGCCACTGAAGATATTTTAAATCTACAGTGCACCCTGAAGGTGAGAGTCTTGGCCAATTCGCCTGTCAATTCTCCCATCTACCCCGACATCCACCCTCAAAGGACCTAGCCTCAAGGCCTTAGAGTTTAGTGAATGAAAACAAAACCAAGTGCCCACTGGCACGCCCCCTAGTGTAGACATGATCCAGAGACTGGCTAACAAGCAAGCAGCACATCAAAAGGCATTTGGGGAGAGGAGACTGCTGTCAACCATCTCTGACTCGCCCTGAGTCCTAAAAAACACTGCTTTGGACCAGAGTTCCTTGTATTTTTAGATAGTAAAACAACTGTACAGGGGAGCCACTGCCCTTTACTGAAAACCACTCCCCACTCCCTACCTGCCAAGAAACAAATGAGGGGGATAAGAAAAATTACATGGTAGGCAAGATTGGAAACAATTTTATGACATGAAATGACATTTAATTTGTTTAAATTATTCTTCAGTATCATTGTTCAAGACTTTAGAAATTGTTCCTTGCAGGTAGTTCCTTACTCTGCTTCACAGCTTCACTATTTTTTCATACTGAAAGAACAGCAAAATGCTATGCTTTTAGTGGTTCTGACTCTCAACAACTCATCTGAAATGGGCAAGAAGTAAACCATACAACAATCTCTAGGTGGCTACCTCCTGACTATCACTAATTTACATTTAATCTTAATTTGGCTCAAGAAAATTCAAGTTCTATGAGAGATGGAAATGATTCCACTACTTGCTATTGGTATTATTTTTAACAATAAGGTTACCGTAAATTGTATATAAGCTAAAAAATGCATACTGTGAGAAAATCCTGCTCAAATTTGTACGCTCCACCTCCAGTAGCACAAAAGACAGTGTGGAGACTTGAGAAGTTTTTATCTCTGCCCATTTGAATAAAAGCAGGCATGTCATGAGTGGGAAAGCGTATAAAGTGCAGATTGCCTTTGCGTCCACACAGAGTCAGGTCCTTCAGCTCCAGGTGCACGTCCCGAATACCCGTGGACCCATAAGCCACGTTGGAGGTAAGGTACTTCCGAATGCTTTTAAGACTTTCCACTTCTTCCTCTTCTTCTTCAGTAGTGATGTCTTTGGGTTCAAAATAAACCAGCTTGACCAGAGTTCCACCAATATCCAAGCCAAACCAAGGAAAAACTAAATGGAGAAGAAAAAAAAGTCAGAACAGCTATTTTTCTGAAATCTAAATTTATACTTATTAGACTATTTCATACCCTGAGGTTTCCAAGAACTATATAAGTAGAAGATTTTCTGGAGAAGACATGATTCTGCCTGATCTGGAAGCAAATCTTAAAAAAAAAAAAATACGAAGATCAAAAAGAAAACTATCACAATATTAAGCCAACCAAACCTCTTATACAAACAAACTGCACGGTGAAATTGTTTTAAAAAAAAAAACACAGCAAAATGACTACCCATGATTCTCATCTCTGAAAAAAGAGACTTGAGAATGAAAACAATACTTCCCCTTGGCTTAAAGAAACGTTGAGAATTTTCAGAGCTCTCATTTAGTACTCAAACTATGGGTAGAAGAAATTCCCAATACTATATAACATATAAGCTACAGTGGTCAGTTTCTCTCAAAACCTGATGTCAATCAATCAATCAATAAGTCAATAGGTAAGGGTTCAATGGACATCTATTGAGCAGGTGCTTCAAAGTTAATATCCATTTCCAAAAAAAAAAAATCAATCCCGAAAAATGGCTTCTGAAGACTGGATCAAGATAAACCGCATTAACTGTACATGCCTTCTCTTCCCACCCTAAATCCTAGAAATGACTAAAGAAACAGACTTACTAACTTTCTAAAATAACTCTGAGGAACAAGAAGTGATCTCACCAGCAGAACTAGGTTGACAAAAGCAGTAACTGTCCAGAATCCTCAAAAGAGAATGGATATAAAAGCTGGGAGCAGCTATGAAGATGAGGGGAGCAGAGGGGTGTTCAATCCAAGAGGCCAAGGGGGTGGCTGCCCTGGGGAAATGGGAGCAGGCCCTGGTGCAGTCAAGGCCATCCGGCGGGGAAACACACTGGGCACAACTGCACAGGGCAGCCACTTCCCTTTACTGAAAACCACTCCCCACCTCCCACCCTACAGAGGCAAAGTCTTCACTGAGCGCAGGCACTTGAGTCCAAGAATCAGTATGGCTTCCAGGTGGCTGCTACTACCCAGAAGAAATGAGGTGTCCCCAAGTCTGGCCGTATTTCCCATCTCTCCCCTACAATCCATCCTGACAAACTGGTAAACAGACACTGCATCCACTGACAGAACAGCAATCCTCAAACCAGAGATGATCATTTTACAAACTAGAATCACCAAAAGGGAAATCAACACCACAAAAACGAGAAGCTAAACATCTGAAGAAAGAGCTGCAGGAACAGAGGACTTAAAGAGAATCATAAACACTCTCCGAGGTAAAATGAGATTTCACCCATGAAAAATGTATAAGCCATCATAAATGAAAATTAGAAATTAAGGAATGATTGCCAACTGTAGCCATGGCCGCAAAAATCTACGCACGTGATAAAATTATATAGAGAGAAATATACATACACAAAAGTTCACATAAAACTAGTGAAATCTGAATAAGGCCTGGGAACTATATCAAAGTTAAGTTTCCTAGTTGTCGGGGCTTTCACAGCTAGGGAAAAAAAAAAGGTGGGAGGAACAATACACTTAACATAAATGATTCTCAAAAATAGGATGAGGGAAAGAAACCTTGTGTAAAAAACTACATACTATATGATTCCACTTATATAAAACTCTAGAATATGCAAACTAATCATTTTTGCATCTGACAGAAAGCAGATCACAGGCCGTAGGAGGGAAAGAGGGAAGGAGGGAAGGACTATAGAAGGGCAGAAGAAAACTTTCTGTGGTAACCCAAATCTTGATTGTTGGGGCAAAAGGGAAGCTTCATGGGTATATATATCTGTCTAAATGCATGGAATTGTACACTTTAAGTGGATGTGTTTTATTGCATGTAAATCATATCCAACAGACACTTTTATAAAAGAAAAAAGCAGAAATATGATTTCCAAAATAAAGATCAACAGATACATTTAATAACAAAATGGGCACAGAAAACACAAATAGAAAACAAAACTAAAATTCTCCCATATACTCTCTGGAGTATGAAAGAAAGGTAGATATACAAAACACAGAACCAGAGAGTCCAACATCTACATTGTGTGAGTGAGTTCTAGAAATTTTCCAGGGGAGAAGGCGGGGAGGACACAAATCATTGGATTGAAAGATCCCCTAAGTTAAACAAAATTAATAAGTAGATAAAGAGGAGACTTAACAGACACATCTTATTGAAATTTCAGGAAATACTAAAAAATTTCTAAAGGAAAAAAGTGAATTTCTACAAAGATACATTCACATAAAGGTAAAATTAGACTTTCCATCAGCAACACAGATGCTAGAAGACAACAGAGCACTGGCAAAGTCATAAGCCAAGCAATCTGAAACTCATACCCAGCCAAATGAGCTTTCAAGTGGGAATGCAAGAGAAAGACATTTTCACATGTGAAAGAGCTCAACGTTTACTACTCAAAGATCTTCTCTGAAATAATAGTATATGCACTCCAATAGAATTTTTAAAGCACCCAAGAAGATATGAACTATAATAAACAATGATAAGCGCAGGAAGCAATACATGTTGACTTTTAGGAAAATAAGCAATATAGAACTAAAATACTTACATGATTTCAACAGAGGAAGTTGAAGAAGGAAGAGAAAGGAGAGGGAAGTCAAAGCAAGCAGCAGTTCTGTCTTGATGGGGAACAGAAGATACAGATTGTGATTAATTCTAAACAAGAATAAAGAAGTGATGGTTTAAATGCATTAAAAATTTACAAGTAACTCCAGAAGAGGAGAAAATGAACATATGACCTTCAAACGAGTAGGGAAAAAAAATCAGTTGAAAAACGAGGAAAAAGATGTATTAAATACAGAACAAAATGACAGAATTGAATACAACACATGAGTAATCACAAATAGGTAAAATTTCTCTTCCAGACTGAAGAGAAAATTAAACTATATGCTTATATAAAAAGATGCATCTAAAATAAAAAAATACAAGCAGACTGAAGGTAAATAATGGTAAAACACCCACAATAGAGTTCCATCCTAAGGAACTGGAAGCTTTAAGATGAAAATGGCATTCACTCAAAAACGAGTAAATCAAAATCGTAAGCACCTCACTGAAGACTGATAAACTAGACAGAGCAGTTGACTTACATTTAAGAAACAAGACATAGTAAAAGTCAAATCTTATGTTTCAAGACCAGCATTGCATTTAACAAGGGTTATCATGCTCACATTATGAGGTGTCCCTCCAAACAGTGATCTACCAAAGTAAGATTCACTACTCTCATCCCTGTGCTCACTCGCAATTATATATTCACTGACTAAATCAGTGAGTAGAGTTACTGGCACCATTTATTTAACTGCTTTGACACATTTATATACTTGAATCTGGGAAAGCAAAATAAATGCCTGGACAGTGTTACTCTGCTGTATCAAGCAAGTGTTAACAGAAAGCAAATACAATACTAGCAGACTGAAAAGAATTCAAACAAAAAGCATTACAAGGAGACGTGGAGGGAGAGTATAGCTCAAATGGTAGAGCGCATGCTTAGCACGCACGAGATTCTAGGTTCAATCCCCCAGTATGTCCTTTAATTAAATAAATAAATCTAATTAATCCCACCCAAAAAAGGGGGACAAAAAGAAATTATGTCATGTGCATAAAAATGTGTAATTGATATGATCCTGACACATGCTTCAAAAAATATTAAAAAGAAACTGACAAATCTACAAATCAGTGTGAGAATGAAATGAGTCTCAGAAATTTGCACACACACACACAAAATAAAGATATGCAGAGGATTTAAATATCACAGCTAAAAAGGTGGATTTATTAAACAGAAATTGAACTTTGTACCAAAAAACCAAATATATTTCCTTTTCAAATACTCATAAACTAATCACAAAATTAACAGCACTAAAACTCTCCAATTCCAAAGGACAAAACCAAACTGCACTTTCCACAATACCTCAAAATAAGAAATCAATCCAACAGACACAAAGAAATAAACCTATCCACCTGGAAACTTTCAAACTCATTTCTATTAACTCTTGAGATTGAAGGTGAAATCAAAACAAAACTTATTTTTAAATGAATGACAATGAGAACACCATGTATCAAAAAGAAGAGGATATACCCAAGGTGGTACTTAAAGGGAAACTTTGAGCCTTAAATGTTTATCAAATGTATTCAAAAAGAAGGAAGCCTCAATAAAAGAGAACGTCGCATACAATCTGAAGTGCTGGAAAAATAAAACAGCCCCAAAATAAGCAGAAGGAAGTTATTGAAAATGAAAGAAAATATAAATGAAATTAGAAAAACATCATCACTGTGAACAAAGCCACAACAAAGCTGATCAATAAAACCAAGCTTTGAAAAAGCCACTAAAACAAATTTGTTTTACCCAAGAAAAGATACAGCTTTTCTCAAAAAAAAAAAAAAAAAATCAGAGAAGATGAAAGTACTTAACCAGAAATTATACAAATAAGCCAATTTACGACTTTGTAACAGTAAATTCAAAATGTACACTAAATAGAGGATTAGGTAGAAAAAACAGTACACAAAGTGGCTCAAAATGAGGTAAAAAACAGAAATCAAAAGCAATGAAAAATTTTTAAACGATGTCAAAACCTACCACCCAAACAACAAAAACAGCAGGCCCTAATGGTTTTCAGGCAAAACTTTATAAGACACAGAAGAATTTAGAAAGATTCTCAAGTCATTCTAACCTCATATCTAAACTAGAAAAGTATCTCACAACACAAATGCAAAAATATTAAATTATTAAACAAGAGAATCCAGCTATGCAGTAAGAGTAATACACCATGGTCAATAGAGATTCTTCACTGGAATGCAATGATGACTTTCACATTAAAATTCCAATTAATGAGATTTGCTTACATTAGTACATTAATGGAGAAAAACCATGATTATCTCAATAGATTCCAAAAAATAAAAATTAAGAGAATCGATTAAGCCAACAAAATTTTTTTAAACATTTTTATTATCTGGACACACAACAATACAAATACCAAGTTTTCCCT